GATCCATCTGGTGGTGGTTCTGTCTAACCCACATTTTTCTATCTTGTCAAGTAGTAGGTTGTGATCTACTTTATCAAATGCCTTACTGAAGTCCAAGTAAATTATGTCCACAGCATTCCTCTGATCCACTAATTTTGTCACTTGGTCAAAGAATGCAATAAGATTTGTCTGGCATGATCTATTTTTGACAAACCCATGTTGGCTTTTAGTAATGACTTTGTTTGCCTCTAGGTGTTCGTTGATTCGTTGTTTGATTATCTTTTCCAGGATCTTCCCAGGTATTGAGGTCAGGCTGATAGGTCTGTAATTTCCTGGATCCATTTTTTTTCCTTTTTTGAGGATGGGAACTACATCAGCTCTTTTCCAGTCCTCTGGTAGTTCCCCTGTGTTCCAGGATCTTTGAAAAATATAGTTCAGTGGCTCCGATATCACATCTGCCAGTACCTTGAGAACTCTGGGGTGTAGTCCGTCTGGTCCTGGCGATTTGGTGTTGGTGAAAATGTTGGTGAAAATGTATTAACCAGGAAGATGAAGCATAGAAATGATGCTATTAGAAAACTTTCTTTAAAAAAACACTTCAAAACAAACCTTTTTTTAAAAAAAACACACTTTTAAGTAACTTCAACTATGGTATTTAAGGGAACTGTTTTTGTTGGCTTCTGAGTAGAGGCTTTCTTAAATGTGTTAAATCCTAAAACAGTGAAAATGCATGTTTGGTCTTTACTATACTAACCGCAAACGCAAAGTCAGTTTGACATTTGCAGTTTTTACAATTACTTGTCACAATTATTATGTGAAGATAGAATAAATGACTATACATTAAAGAACATGTCTATTATCACCTGAGGCTTTCCATATACCTTTCAATTGTTTCATAGCTGCTTATAATCATACAGTATAGATCTTATTCTTTTTGGCAATGAGATGTCAAAACATGAGTTTATTTGAATTCAAAAAAGAAGTTTTAATTTTCTCGATTTGGAGTGATTAGATCTGAATGTAAGTTGTAGGGAGACATTGCTTATATCTGCCAGGTGAATCAGATTTGACTGACCCTTGTAATTGAATTCTGTCTAAATAAAATATTGTATAATAATACTTAGAAGCATCCAATATATATTATTGATAGTTCTCATGTACTTAAGCACATTAAAAATAGCCCTTTTAGCCGGGGTGTTGCAAGCTTGAAACAAACAAAACAATCTATATGCAAGCTGTTTTAAAAATCTCTTAACGGTGAGTCAGTCATTGTTTTTTTCCTCCCTGCAGTGAACCAGCAGCACCAATAAAAATGCCATTACTGAGTGTCAGTTAACTCATAAAAGTTCATCTCCAGAATGCTGGTAAACTATTAGCTTAAGTTTATGGATCTGAACTGGTTAGTTCAGCTTTAAAGGCTGGTTTAGATATAGCTTAAGGGCGTTTTTGGTGTACAGTAGTTTTTACCTAAGGGTAAATGGTTCAGCTATTGTGATGGGAATATGTATCAGGAAGAAAGGGTTGAGCAATGCCTGCCCAATTACAGATAGTTCTCGACTTACACACATTCGTTTAGTGACCGTTCAAAATTACAACGGCACTGAAAAAAATGACTTATGACCGTTTTTCACACTTACGAGCATTGCAGCATCCCCATAGTCACATGATCAAATTTTGGATGCTTGGCAACTGGTTCATATTTATGAAGGTTTCAGTGTCCTTGGGTCATGTGATCAATCTTCAAAGCTTCAAAGCAAAATCAATGGGGAAGCTAGATTCACTTAACAGCTGTGTTTCTAACAATTGTAATGATTCACTTAACACTTGTGGGGAGAAAGGTTGTAAATTGGGGCAAACTGTCTCACTTAGCAACAGAAATGTTGGGCTCAGTTGTGGTTGTAAGTCAAGGATTACGTATGTTTACAGTTCTTTAACTAAGGTTTGGAATAATTTTAGCCAAGCATTTTTAATCAAACCTTAATATATTTACATAATGATTCCATTCATAACATCCTGCAAAGAAAAGTCCCCATCAGTTCTGTCTTAATTCTGATAACTATATAGATGTACGCATACTGTTTTCTTGGCAACAATATAGAAGTGGGTTGCTAATTCCTATTCTGTCTGAGATTTATAAACAAAGACTTTCTCACTCATCCAGATGCCTTTATTTATGGTTAGCAAATTGTAATTTTTTGTAACAAGACTATCGAAACATTGTGATTAGCATATTATATGCCAGTGATAGCGAACCTTTTAGAGACCGAGTGCTCAAACTGCAACCCAAAACCCACTTATGTATCGTCGCGTGCTGGGTGGGCATAGCTCATTGGGTGAGTATGTCCAATTGGGTGGGCATGGCTGCAGTTGTATTGGCAGACTGGGTGGGACTAAAAAGTTCAATCAATCAATTCCAACTTTGTGAGATTTTTTTTCCTGTGAGAAGTTGAAATTGATTGATTGAACCTTTTTTTTTTTTTTTTTTTTTCACATGGTGGCAAGACTAAAGCGAAAGGTTTTATAAGACCCAGCTGAAAGCCCTAGTAACTGGCGCCGCATGATGCCCAACAGAAGAGCTCTGCGTGTCCATCCCCCTGTGGCATGCGTGCCATAGTTCCGCGCACCGACGTTATATGCTTTATATTGTTTGAAGAGTAATACTTAGAAGATCACTAGTCAAACTTCATATGGTTGAATTTTTTTGGAAGGTCAACTAGTCCTCAATTTAACCATCATTTAGTGACCATTTGAAGTTACACCGCGCTGAAAAAATGATTGTAACTGTTCTTCCCAGTTTCAACTGTTGCAGCATCGCCTGGTCACATGTTCAAAATTCATGGCTTTACAACTGCATATAATTTACGTTGGTTGCATCATCTTGAAGTCATATGATCACCATTTTTTTTTTATTGAAAAGTTTTTAATATTTTTTTACAAAAGCAAAAAAGACAAAAAAAAACAACCCTAACCCACCACCCCAACCTCCTCCTCATCCCCTGACCTTCCCAGGAAAAGCTGAATCTGGCTTAATTAAATTTTAAGATCTTAAAAAATTGAAAAGTAAAATCATAATATATCTAAAATACCTTACATACACAACTTATAGAGTAATTAACAATAAAATATATGTAAGAAAAAAGCAGAAGTATTAAAAAGAAAAAAGTACTTGAAAAAAAAGAGATAATAAAAAAAAGAAAGAGAAAGAAAAGAGATTATAAAAAAAAAACAAGTACAATCTATAAAATTAAAGTTTATATCAAGTTAATTAAAGCTGAATGATATTTTTTATATCCAATTTATATTGTATACATTTATCCTTTTTCCCAGACCGCAAGAATTTCTCTTGCGATGCTCCTTTTAAGAGCGAAGTCTTTGCCATTTTCCGCCAATAAGAACTTTTAAAACCACTCTAGCACTCTGCAAGGTAGGCAAAGTTCCTTCTTCCAATATTGCCCTACTAGCCATCCTAGCTGCCATAATCAATTAACATAATATAACTTCCTTAGCATAATCAGTAACAATACTACAAAAACAATTGTGGGTAAACTTTTACCCTCTTTCTAAAATTCTTTGAATATTCCCAGATCTTAATCACAAAAGACTTTTATATTTTTACACGACCACCAAATATTATAATAAGTAGCATCCAAACACCACAATCTCCAACATTTAGGCTGTAAGTCAGGATACATACGAGACATTTTTGTGGATCCAAGGTGCCATCTATAAACATTTTGTAAAAATTCTCCTTAAGTCTGGCTTGTGTAAATTGTAACATTCCTCACCCAGATGGTTTCCAGGTATCTAGTAGAAGACTGGTTCACCAAAATTTCGTGCCCATTAATCATACTTCTTTAATTAGTTCTGGTTCTGAGTCCATTCTACGAGCACCCGCATAATTCTCTTAATATGAGTTCGGCCTTTGATCTTTTACTTTTTTAGAAAGAAATTTTCATCTTCTCTGAGCAGAACCACATTACGATCTATCTTTCCATCTATCAGCTATTTGTCTATACTGAAACCATGAATATATCGTATTTTTATGTGCTAAATCCCTTTTTCCAAAGATTTTAACTGCAATTTTTACCATTCCCACCTGAGTAATTGCGCATAGAACACTATCCATATTAACTCCTCTTCTTAATCCCCTCGATCGCATGCGCAGGTATAGCCCACTAAGTCATATGATCACCATTTGAGACCTTCCCAGCTGGCCTTTGACAAGGAAAGCAATTCGGTGAAAAATGCATTTGTGCTTACCAACTGTAATATTCACTTTAACGCTGTGCCAAAAGAGGGTCATAAAATTGGATATGACTCACTTAGCAACGAAATTCCTGGTCCCAATTGTGTTATTATAGAGGATTACCAGTAATTAAAAATTATAGAAATGTAAAAAAGAGGCAAAATATGAAACAATCTGGTCTTCCTATATAAACCAGTTTATATTGATGAAAATATAACCTTTTCATAATCCAGTCAATACTTCGTAAAGGTTTTCAACTCTGAATTGGGTTTACTGATGTTTTTAAAATAGGATGGGTAGGAAGTATGAAGACTATCCAAACTGGTTTTGCTCGCTCAATTTGCTTGTGCAAAGGTGCAGTGACGCTTTGGTTTGGCATAGCAAAGTTTGTGAGTCTGTGCAATTATATAGATTAGAAACATTATTAAACTAGCATCTTTATTCTTAGCCAGCCCTATACCTATGGAGTTTATTAGTTTTATTCCTGGGGGGGTGGGAAAGGTTATCTAGTTTGTTTTAGCTTATGTTTGAGAGCACTGGTTTAGCAGCTGACTTTATCTACTATATATATAGATAAATTCTAAAATCAGATACTACTTATTTATTTCAGAATTTTCATGGCCACTGCTAGATGAGAAAATATAATTAATGGTTATTACTAAATTTGAGCCATTTCATATTTCAGATTCCTCTGATTTGGTTTTCCTGTCATTGTGGATTTTCTTTTCAAAACTTTTGTCTTAATTTGTAACTTTTGTTTTTAATTTGCACCAAGGTCCACTTTCCAGATACTGAAGAGCAGATGGGTAAATAAGGTAAACTGACATTCTTACTGTTTAGGACGTTTCGGTAAAATTAGTAATGTTTCTTTGTTGCAAAATAGGATTTATCTACTTGGGTGGGCTTTTATTGTACTATTTTGGTTCTTTTAAGAGGCTACAAAGAATGCTGTTTTGGTTGGCTTGAAAGTTAAGTACTCAGTTGTACTAAACGCAAAAAAGTCATCTTTCTGAATTGTATTGTAATATAATGGTTGCTAGCTCTTTATATGTTAGTGGGATTTTAAAAAAGGATGTTTGATTATTGGCATCAAATTGCTGCTGCCGATCTTAGTAAATACACCAATTATTTGTTTTGAAAGAATAATTCGACTGAAAAAAATATTAAATCAATAATGCGGTATTTTGATTAGGGCAATTCAAGATATAGCAAAATAATATGGTTGCTTGCAAATCTGGGGACACTTGGAAATCACATACTGTTTTGTAATAGAAAATGATATGGAATAGAGCATAACATATCCTGTGTACATGATTCACTTTCTATTGGACTGCTTATTGTCCCTTCTTTTTTCGGCTGATTTGGATGTACTGTAAATCATTATTCGAGTTAAGAATTCTCCTCTAGCTAAATTGTTAAGGGGTTCTGTTATGGTCTAACTGTACAAAAAGCACATTTTTTTAATGAATGGGGCTAATGGCATGATCATGGAATTAACATTGAAAACTTAGGTCTCTTTTCTTTTTTTGGCGACAGTGAAACATTGTTGCCTTTCATTTGCCAGTTTATTGAGAACGCTTCCGTGAAACAATAGAGCCTGCAGTAAAAGGAGCAAACAGCCACTTGAGTACTTTCAATTTCACAAAATTGATATAGGGCACCGGGTATGCTTTTTTCTGGAAGCTAGACTGAACCACCATATAATTATCACTGAAGTCATGGCTTTGCTTTTATTTGTCCCCAAAGCACTGAAAGCAATAATTTCTACCCTAAAAAATGAAATTCCCTGGGAAAAGTTGTATTTTTCTAATATGTTTACCATTGAGAGAAGAATATTTTTTAATTCCAAAATCTTGTTTGGATTTTTGAGATTACAATTCATGTTAGTGAATGCTACTATTAGCAGGATTACCTGTATCTGTAGTCCTCAACTTACAACATACATTCGTTATTGACTGTTATAAGTCACTGAAAAAAGTGATTATGACCAAATTTTTTTGTTTTCGAACTTACAACATTGCCGCCATCCCCATGGTCACATGATTAAAATTAGGACACTTGGCACTGGCATTTATTTATGACGTTGCAGTGTCGTGGATCATGTTATTAACACCTTTGCACTTCGACAAACAAAAGTCAATGGTGGAAGCCAAATTCACTTAACAAACTGTATTACTACCTTAATAGCTGCAGGGTTCACTTAACAACTGTGGCAAGAAAGGTTTAAAAAGGGCAGAACTCACTTAATAAATTGTCTCACTTTAGCAATATAATCTGGCTCAACTGTGGTCATAAGTGAGGACTTACTGTGATTTATAATCTCAGTATCACATTACACAAACCGGGCATGTAACCCGGCAGAACACACACATGCACTCATGCCTAAGAGAGCTAGTTATTGGTCTTAACTTGCCTTATGTCTACATTTACGTATCTATCTTTGTTTGGTTTTGAGTTTCAGTAAATTTTGCATACTATTTGGGCCTTGGTTGTGTGGTGGAGTAGGTTTTGATATATTTCCTATCTAGCAGATACAATATTGTATCTTGTTTGTTTGCTATGGTTATAAAAAGAGTATTTATGTGCAAATGTAAACTACTCATATTACTAGATTATTCAGGTTTTTGAACATCAACGTGTCTGACGGTCTAAATATATATACTGAATAAATGTTGCTCCATTCTCTTTGGAAAATCTTGCTCAGAGGACAGGCACATAATCACTAAAGCTCTGCTGAAGAGCAATTTTGTTTGCGTCAACTCTGCTCTGTTGATTTAAGATCTATCAATGGGTGCCTGGCTCTGCATATCTGCTGTCCTTTGTGTATATGGGTGTGTGTATTTATTAATAAGTGATTAAAACGTGCCTTTTTATTAGAATTCTGGTTAAAGGGAAACATGTTGCCAGGATGAGATTGATTTTTGCATTTTCACACTAGATCAAAAAAATTCAGAGCTGGGCATTATTTCCATTGGTGCTTTCTCATCAACCAGCATGAATGTTGGCGCGTAGCATTTTCTAATTCAAGTCAGTATTATGGTAAAAAGTCAGTTAGATTGCAAGATTTGAAACTAAAGTAGATATGCAAGCTTCCAACTAAAATTTGCTTTCCCTGGTTTCTGTGATCTATTGATAGTTATAGTGCTTTGGTCCATGGACTGCTTTTTAATACATTATTCTTATCAGTTCAGCATAGTTATCTTTCAATCTGACATTATCAGCTCTGTAAGCATCTAGATCGTGTTTAACATAAATAACCCATTTTAAATAAAGTGGAGAGTTACATTTAACATCATTCTTGCGACCTATGATCTCTTAATTGGAATTTTTTATTTCAGCCCATAGGATCAATGTGTGAAAGTGTATACGGAATGTGGATAAAAGGCAGATCTTTTGATCTACAAATCAGTAATCTTGTCCTAGTAAGCATTTACCGTGTCTTAATTCCTTTAAGATTTTGTTCTTCATTGCAAAATTGCAATACTTGTTTCTTGTACAAAAGACAATATCTTTTAGCTCATTTAAAAATTAAAGAAGCCCACTATAAATGTTTAATGCAGGGGTTCTCAACCTTGCACTTTAAGACTTGTGACATTCAACTCCCAGAATTCCATCCAGCTTTAGCTGAGAATTCTGGGAGTTGAAGTCCTACAAGTCTTAAAGTTGCCAGGTTAGAACCCTGTGTTAATGGACCATTAGTAAACACTAAGCAAGAGCATTGTTCAACAGAAATTAAGCTAGAAATAACACACCACTGTTTTATATAGTATGACGGCAACTAAAACTTCGAAGTCTTTCTTTAAACAGGATATACTCTTAAACGTTTGTATGCCAGTTAATGCGGGAGTCAATTTCTCTGTCTCCTACTTTTTTTCATTAATAGCACTAGTGAAGCTATAAACAAAAAATTTTTACTACTTGTGTGATTTAGTTTATGCTCATTTCTCCTGTCATTGTATAAATCATCAGGAAAAAAACAGGCTTGTTTCCAAATACCCTAAATTCCCCAATGTCTAGCGAAAAGAAAAGATATGTTTGGAAACCTAGCCATTTTTCCTTTCTATTAATGACCGAAAAAATTTAATACTTCCCTTTAAACTTTCTACAAGTCTAGGCAATTTTTACCAGTTAGTAATGAAAATAACATTTAAAGTGATGATTTATAACAGTCTAAGTTCCATTAAAATGTCTATGAGATTCTCAGTCATCCAGGTCATGTTTATCCCAAAAGTGCTTTTTTTCCTAAAGGCAGCTGGACTCTCGTTGTTGAATCCATTAATAAAATCCCACATTTAAAAAGAAGTTTTAAACTGTTGTCATAGCAGCCTCAACAAAAATTACACCTTTTTTTTTTTTTTTTTTTTAAATTTGGTGGCCCTTGTCTTTCCTTTTTTCCTGCAATAAAAGTAAAAATGTTGTTTGTTTATATTTCAACATTTCTGGACCACCCATCCCCTCAAAGTCGGACTCGTGACTTTAAATACAGACATCAAATATAAAATAGGATATACAAATTAAGATGTTAACATTTTAGAATTTAAATTTTAAAATTTTTAAAATTATGAAAGTTTTCAAGGAGGCAAGAACATTTTCAAGGAGGAGCAAATTTAAACCCCGGTGTAAAATAGTTGACAAAGCCAGGGAGGAGGGCTTCAATGTCACATCCCACCTCACAACTTTGTGTTTCCTTTGGCTACTTAATCAGCCACAGAGCCATGTTTTTACGTCTTTTCGGAGTCCAGAAGTGGGTGGGGGCTCAATTTCTGGGGTAGATATCCATCCGGGGGGTGGGGGTATGACAAAAAAGTCTATCTTCCAAGTTATTGGGGTGTTTAAGTTAGCTTTTGAAATTGTTCAAATTGTAAATCACATGTTACTTACTTTGAAGGAGAAAGCTGTGTTAGTCTGTTGATTCAAAATTATTTGCAAGTAGCTCCTTTTATTAACTTTTATTAGCAGGTAAAGCTTTCATGAATTCTTTCAACAGTTACAAACAGTGACTAGACTGATACAGGATAAAGGATATGAGTTGGAAGGAGGTAAGATAGGTTATTTTGCCGCAGCATTGTATGTAGCCAAGATTTATAAGCATATATCAATTACTTTCTAGTGTGTTAAAGACCTTCTGTTTGTTGGCATCTTCTAAATGCCTAAGATTTTAAGTTTGGTTGTCTAAGTTCTGATTCATTTTTCTCACAACAAGTTACTCTGGGGCAACCTTTAACAAAACAAACAATAAATATTCTAACCACTATCATGAACAAATATTAAAACACATTAAACATTACCATCTGATATGAGTTCAATAATTTTCTCACTCAGTTTTGATTTAAATGCATTCTTTCTAAATAGAATTACCTTTAGGGTCTGTGGGCGATTGAAATAGTCTAATATTTTTCCCTTGTTTGAGTCCTGATGTTTTAAGTCCATTTACTTAGTGGCGCCAAGGTTCGTCCCATTTTTCGCTGTATGGAATCCAGGTAGGAATCATTGTAGTGAAGCTGGTATAATTATCACATTGTAGAAAATTTGTGTAAACGGGCCCCTAAATTTTGTGTAGATTTGTTGGAGCATGTATGGGCGTTGGAGCAAAAATAGACTCTAGGTTTCTTGCAAGTGTGGAGATTTGTATTATTTGCTATTACACTTCTAGGATGCCTAAGAAATATGTTACTAAAACGACTGTGTCATCTAAAGATTGATGCATGGTCTGAATGAAAGAATAAAATCTAATTTTTCACTACTTAGTAATTCCCCATTCATTCTTTTTTTGGGGCCAAGTGCTATATCATCCCCCCCTCCTTCGTTCTGAATGAGCAAATACTCTTGATGCTACTCATGATGAGAGCTTAAGGGTTTAATGGATGATGTAATTGTTTGTATCTGTTCATTAATATTAAAATTAAAGCTCTTTGGCTCTCCCTTTTGCAAGATATGGAAACAATCACTTTTTAAATTGTGAGATATTAATGAATAAAATGCAAGCAGTGGGCTCTGTATATAAAAAGTCTGAGTCAGATCTTGGATCTGCACATTGATTTTGCTGTAAAATAGTTACGAGGAGCCATTATGCCGCGTGGATAAAGTGTTCTGCTTCAGTCCTGTGTCCAAAATGGTAGATCATATTTCATGTAAACTGTGTTGCAAAGACTTAAGCCAATCCATATGGACTTGAAGGTCTTATTAATTGTTTGGGTACAACCAACTAATCTTTTCCCTTTTTCTCTTGTTCAATTTGTTGATGTCAGTCTAAACTAGCACAGTAATTAAATTAAAAAGGGGGGGGAGCAGAAATTTTTTTTTAAAATATTTATTTATTTATTTACTTACTTACTTACTTACTTACTTACTTGTATTCCTATTTCTTAACAGGCCCCTCTTCCTTGAAAGGGTCTTCTGTGTGATGTACAATATAATCAATATATAAAATTTAACATTCATATTAATACACTTTAAAACATTAAAACAAATTAACATTTTGCCTATGATGGTTGTTGTATAACATAGACGAAGATAGTTAAAGGTACATTTTAGCCAGCTGCAGTGGGTTACCTCTCGCTATAATTTTAGAGAAAAATGCATTCTTAAACTTTTGGGTGTCCGTGAAATTGGTTTTATAGCAAGGTATTTAATGGATTGTATATATAGTACAACAATACAGTGTTTTCTTTATATTTCTCAGTTTTGTGGGAAATGTTGAAATTGGATTTGGAGATCAATAGATATTCTGTAGAGCTGGAGTGAAAAGATACAGGTAAATTTCTTTTTCTTCTATCCATTACCTTTTACCAATTCTTGTCCCATAAATGCACCTCTATCCTCATCTAACATTGAAATGATATAGTTTATTCGTTTAACATTATTCAAGTTCATATTTATAGAAAAACATTCTGCATAATTATATAATAGTTTAAAGTAATCTTTAATTTCATGTTATGTTGTGTACTCGTTTCCCAAAATAAGACCTACCCGGAAAATAAGCCTTAGCTTATTTTTGAGGGTGGCCTAATAGAAGCCCTACCCTCAAATAGCCATTTTTGGGGTGAGACAACCCCCTAAAAATCAGGTGGCAGGTGTACTACCACCCCATGCACCATTTACCCTTGCAGTACAGGCCTCTCCTCTACGGCCCCACTTCTTGTGGCGGTGGTCTTCTTCAGCTCCAGGCTGTAGTTGAGGACCGAGCTATGGATTCAGAGGCTGGCAGAGTCCTTCCAGAAAGGCCTGATTGCAAATGTGGTGGACTGTCGGTACCAGGGTGATATAAAAGACAAGCCCCGAAACTAAGACGTGGTGCTTCTTTTGGAGGCAAAAAAGAAAAGACCTGTTCTTATTTTCAGAGAAACACAGGTATCTATACATGCAGGTACCCTTGAGTCAACCTTTTACTCCTGGTGACTGCATGGACTGGGTTCTGATGTTTTCTTGGAAAGATTTCAGAAGTAATTTGCCATTACCTGCTTGCTAGCATTGAGAATGACTGATCCGAGGTCACCCGGCTGGTTTTGTATGTGAGGCGGAATGGAACTCATGGTCTCTGGATTGATTGCCTGATGTCTTTAACTGCTACACCGAACTGCCTTAGTGCTTTGATCATGGCTGTTTTCTTTTTTTTTTTCTTTTAGATTCATGGCACAATGAGAGTTATATTGGAACCTCTGCTTGGCGATATGCCCTTAATTGGAGCGCTATCTTTATTTTTCCTTAGAAAACCAGTAAGTGGAAAATTTCTATATTTCTTTTTTCCCTCGTAACTGTTTTAGCATAATATGAGAATAGAATAGAAAAGAATTCTTTATTGACCTGAGTTCTTTATTGTATGTGTGATCGGACACACAAGGAATTTGTTCCAGTGCATAAGCTCATAGTGTACATATAAACAGCAAGTATTAGATCGTGGGCCATAATTATAGTTACAGTCACTAATCATAAGTTACAAACAACAATTGATAATCATAAGAAACCAATAGGAGAAGATAGTAGGAAAGATGAGATGAGAAAAGATGAAAGATGAGACACTGCTGTGTGGGAATTAAGTGTTCAGCAGAGTGATGGCCAGAAGGAAAAAGCTTTCTTTATGTCTGGTTATTTTGGCATGCCATGCTTTATAGCAGCGTCCTGAGGGGAGAGTTAAAATAGATTATGTCCAGGATGTTAAAGATCTGTAGATATTTTCTTAGCCCTCTTTCTGGTTCGTGCAGTATACAGATCCTCAATAGAAAGCAGGCTGGTTGTGATTGTTTTTTCTGCAGTCCTAACTATATGTTGAAGTCTGTATCTGTCTTGTTTGGCTGCTGTGCCAAACCAGACAGTTACAGTGGCACACATGACATATTCAGTAATTCCTCTGTAGAACTGTATCATCAGATCCTTGGGCAATCTGAACTTTGAGTTGACTCAGGAAGAACATTCTGTGTTGTGGCTTTTTAATGATAGTTCTAATGTTAGGCATCCATTTCAAGTCCTGGGAGATTATAGAACCCGGAAACTTAAAAGTTATCTACTGTTGATACTGTGTTGTCTAATATTGTAAGAGGTATTAGAATAGGAGAGCTTCTTCTAAAACAGTGGTTCTCAACCTTTTTAATGCCGCGACCCCCAACCGGTCGTAAGTCAAGGACTACTCAACCGGTCGTAAGTCGAGGACTACTCAACTGGTGCAGCACCGTTTGCAGAATGGGACTTTTGGCGGGCTCAGCAGGGCAGAGACAGCCTGGACAATTCCTATTGGCTTTTGAAAGCCAATAGAATTAGACTCTATTCAAGAGAGTCTATTCTATTGGCTTTCAAAAGCCAATAGAATAAAAGGGAGTAGCACATCTAAGGAAAAGGGGGAAAAAATGGCGGACTGCGTTGTTTGGCGACCCCCGTGAAATGGTCGTTTGACCCCAAATGGGGCCCCGACCCACAGGTTGAGAACCACTGTTCTAAAATCTATTATCATCTCTACAGTTTTAAGAGTGTTCAGCTCCAGATTGTTCCACTTGCACAACAGGGCTAGTTGATCTTCTATAAGCAGATTCATCATTGTCTCAAATGAGACTAATGACTGTTGGATCATCTACAAACTTCAGTACTTCAACAGAGGAATTCTTCAAGATGCAGTCATTGGTGTATAGAGAGAAGAGTAATGGAGAGAACACACAGCCCGGGGGGGGGGGGGTCGTGTGCTGATTGAAAGGGTACTTGATGTAATTTTTCTCTAGCTTCACCTGCTGCTTCCTATTTATTAGAAAGCTTATGATCCGTCTACAGCAGTGGTTCTCAACCTGTGGGTCGGGACCTCATTTGTGGTCGAAAGACTATTTCACGGGGGTCGCCAAACAACGCAGTCCGCCATTTTTTCCCCCTTTTCCTTAGCTGTGCTACTCCCTTTTATTCTATTGGCTTTCAAAAGCCAATAGGAATTGTCAGGCTGTCTCTGCCCTGCTGAGCCCGCCAAAAGTCCCATTCTGCAAACGGTGCTGCACCAGTTGAGTAGTCCTCGACTTATGACTGGTTGAGTAGTCCTCGACTTACGACCGGTTGGGGTCGTGGCATTAAAAAGGTTGAGAACCACTGGTCTACAGTATGGTCAGGCACAGCTAGCTGAATCAGTTTAGAGAGGAGGATTTCAGAAATGATGGTGTTAAATGCTGAGCTTGAAATCTACAAAAAGGATCTTACTTAGATCTTTGGGGATTCAAGAAGTAGCGCATTGCCATATTGACAGCATCATCTGCCAATCTGTTTGCACGGTAGGCAAATTGCAAGGGGGTCTAGCAGCAGATCCGTGATAGCTTTCAGGTGGGCAGCATTGATCTTTCGAAGGTTTTCATAACTATGGATGTCAGAGCCAGTCAGTAGTCATTGAGCTCCCTGATGGAGGGTTTCTTGGGCACCGGAATGATAGTAGAGCATTTGAAGCAAGAAGGGATATAACACGTTTGCAGTGTTTTATTAAAGATGCGGGTGAAGATGGGAGCCAACTGATCAGCACAGACTTTCAAGCAAGAGGGAGTTACCCTGTCTGGCCCTGGTGCTTCTCCACTTTTTTATTTGTGAAATAGACCTCGCACAACTTTTTCTGTGATCAACAGAAGTGGGTGGTCCAGAGGGATGGGGTGTAGGAGATTTAGCTTTTGTTGATATATCTGAGATAGAGTAGCAATAGTTGACGGTAGTAGACAATAGTTCCTCTCAAACCTACAGAAAAACACATTCACATCAACTGCTAGTTTCTGACTCTCTCTCACAAGGGAGGAAGATCTGCTGTAGCCAGTGATAATATTGTAAGATTTCGAAGAACTGTTGATAATGGACAAGTGCTTGGTTCCTCTTACAATCAACAACTGTGGTATTGTACCCAGAGCTAGAGATCTGGCTTATATGTCTTTCAATAAGAGTGCAGTACTGCAGGCCACTTTAGCTGACTGTGTTCAGCAGGTCAGCGGTTCAAATCTCACCGGCTCAAGGTTGACTCAGCCTTCCATCCTTCCGGGGTAGGTAAAATGAGGACCCAGATTGTTGGGGGCAATGTAAATATATATATACATTGCTTACTGGTGTACACCGCTTAGAGAGTGCTTGCACTTAAAGTTGGTATATAAGTCTCATAAATAATAAAATAAATAATAATAATTTCTGGTGTCTGCTTATTAGAGCACTGAAAAGTTGGAGTCTATGTTTAAGGAAATATAAAGTCTTAAAATATAGATTAAAACGTTTACTCAGTAACAATAAACCAGAATTCGGTTAAAATATCTTTTAGACAACTGTCATTCTGAGCAAGCTTTATAAGTGTCAAGGCAGCTATAATGTCTGCAGCCAGAATACTTAAGAACAGCCCCCATATTAATATTGTAGTTTTCCAGGATCACAGTCCTAAGGTTTTCCAGTGTACTACCATTAAAATGAAGCTAATGTTTATAATCTGCAACAAAGTAATACAATAATCTATAATATTTAATAGAATAGAATTCTTACATGTCCTTCCTCTGGAGTTACAAGCAGATGTTTTATTACAGCCGTTTTCTATCACTTGGATCTTTAGTGGCTACAGCAAGAGAGAAAAATCACTATTTTGTCCAGAGGGAGAAATGTTGGGTTAGTTGGCATCCAGTAATGTTTCTTCTCATATTTTCCAGGCCAAAGTAACATTTGGCAATAATTCAGTGCACTCTTTAGTCAGTGTCTGTTGCTGGCTGTGATGACTATATATGGTAGCAATGCCTGAATTAATAGTTCTGAACATACTTGTTTAATGAATTTGCTTATGTCTTCTGTGGTTTATGAGCCAAAGTTTTTGTCAGGCATCTTTAGCCTTGTATTTCTTATAAAAATCAATCATTATGGTAAAGTAACAAAAGATGATATGAATGTTAATACTTATTCAAATATCTTTAGCAAACATGAAGTGATTTAAAAAACAATCATCACATTTTTGTTGTAACTTTTCTTCCACTAAAGATTTCAAGGAAACTGCACATATCTGTGTTTTATTTAAGCTAGTAGACTTTGACAATTCTATATTTAGTTCATATTGGTAAATAAGCTTGATTTTTGCAAACTGCAAATTCTCTTTCAAGCTTGGGCTAATTTGAGGGTATATTGAACAAGTCTTTATTGTAAAAACAGTTTAAACTTTGCAAGTTATTGGTAAAGCTTGTAGATGCCAGTGGACCCATTGTTATTTCCATTGGGACCTAATATACACCTTTCCTCCATCTGTTTGCATTCAACAAGACCTTTTAATTAAAATAAAAAGGCAAGTTGGCATGTCATAAAAGAGAGTGTCAGCTATCAACATATCTTTGTTGTCAATGCTGCCTCTGCGTCTCATATTCTTAGTACATAAAATGCTGAGTTGTTATACTATGTGCCTGTGTGTGTTTATGTGTGTTTATGTTTATGTCTGTTTATTGCAAGTATACCCACCTTGTTCAGAAAAAACCCCAAAGATAAACAGGAAGTAGAGAATATTCCTTAGGAATGGTTGAAACCATTCATTCCTTATAACTTTCTGCAGCTATTTTGCAATATTGTTCACAATATCTTCTCAAAATGCTAAATGGGCCTACTAATTGAAAAAGGATAAAGTCCTGATTTAGGCCCAAATCTACATCTACATCTGGCATTCAGATTACTATGGAATTGCATATATCTGTCTGTTTTAATTCATATAAATATTCTCTGGACATCAATTAGCTGGTTAGATTAAAATCCAATCTATGGTACGTAACTTTTTTTTACTTGATCTATGAGATATTGTATTTTCTGCATTAAATGTATGATCCAGATATTGGTTCTGCAGTTAGAAGACTGTTTATGAAATAGTCTACCTTTCCTAATTAATTAATAAATACATGCTTGGGGTAGTCTATTGTTCCCATATGAATTTAAATTCTTCAGTTGGAGAAAGTCCATGAATTACAATTTATATCACTGAAAAGAGTTCCGATGTCTGGGAAAAAGGGAACATTTTTTCCTCTCTCCACGACACTGTTAATGCTAGGCTGCATTAACAGAGGGATAGAATCAAGATCACGTGAAGTATTAATGCCACTCTACAATGCCTTGGTAAGGCCACACTTGGAATACTGCATCCAGTTTTGGTCACCATGATGTAAAAAAGATTTTGAGACTCTAGAAAGAGTACAGAGAAGAGCAACAAAGATGATTAGGGGACTGGAGGCTAAAACATATAAGGAACGGTTGCGAGAATTGGGTATGTCTAGTTTAACGAAGAGAAGGACAAGGGGGGACATGATAGCAGTATTCCAATATCTCAGGGGCTGCCATAAAGAAGAGGGAATTAAGCTATTTTCCAAGCACCTGAAGGCAGGACAAGAAGCAACGGGTGGAAACTCATCAAGGAGAGAAGCAACCTAGAACTAAGGAGAAACTTCCTGACAGTGAGAACAATTAATCAGTGGAACAACCTGCCTCCAGAAGCAGTAAATGCTCCAACACTGGAAGTTTTTAAGAAGAGACTGGACAGCCATTTGTCCGAAATGGTGTAGAGTTTCCTGCCTGAGCAGAGGGTTGGACTAGATGACCTCCAAGGTCCCTTCCAACTTTACTATTATTATTATTACTCTAATGGGGCATATTGCACATCTACAGTCTGGAAGTCAATGAAAAAGTTAAGCTTCTCAAAAGGAAAACTCTGGACGAGTCAACACATGTTAACAGGCTAACATAGAAATGCATTAAAGTAATCAAGAGACACATTGAGCACATGTTGGGCACTTGGCAACTGGCTTGCATTTACATCTGTTTGCAGTGTCCTACAGTCACATGACCACAATTTATGATGTTTTACTGCAAAAATGGACGATGAACTGTGGTGGCACAATGGTTAGAATTCAGTACTGCAGGCTACTTCTGCTGACTGCCAGCTGCCTACAGTTCAACAGTTCAATTTTCACTGGCTCAAGGTTGACTCATCCTTCCATCCTTTCGAAGTCATTAAAATGAGGACCCAGATTGTTGGGGGCAATATGCTGAGTGTAAACCAGTTAGAGAGAGCTATAAAGCGGTATATAAATCTAAGTGCTATTGCTATAAGAAAAAAAGTTTGCCATATAGCCAGAGTTGCTTAACAACCACCTCAAAAGAGATCATAAAAATATGTACTGTCACATGGTGACTTGCATTATAACTATGACAACTTACAACTATTATGATCAGGCTCCTCATTATGGTTGTAACTTGAGTACTGCCTGTCTATGACAGGGGTCCCCAATCCCAATCCGTGGACCAGTACTGAGCCGCGGCATGCCAGCAACCGGTCTGCACAAACAAAGGAAAGCCCCATCCACATGATGCAGGCAGCACACAAAACCACGCCCCCTCCGGTCCATAGAAAAACCTCTCTCCACGACACCGGTCCCTGGTGCCCAAAAGGTTGGGGACCTCTGGTCTTTATCATAGATTTGTATATAAAACTGACCATTATGCACGTATGGAAAGCAGTATTAGTCATTTTGCTGTAAATTCTGAAGCATGATTTTCTGCATTAATGCTGTATCGCCAGGTGAATAAATTTTTTGTTCGAAAGCAGGGGTGTCAAACTGCCGGCCTGTGGGCCGAACGCGTCACGAGGAAACTGCGCCCACCCCAATGCCGGCAATGGGGAAAAAGCTCCGATACATTGTTTGATGTTGTGTGACATCGCGAGTTTGACATGTCTGTTCTAAAGCAATCTTCTCCAACCTGGAGAAGGGATTGCATGGGATGCAGTTTCCATAATTCTTAGCATGGCCCAATCTAGTACTGCTTTGGTGACTTATAACTGGTTTTCCAAGATCACATAATCAAAACCTGGGCACATGTCTTTATGAGAGTTACATTGTCCTGGGGTCATGTGTTTCCCATTTGTAGCCTTCCCCGCTGACTTCCAACAAGCAAAGTCAGTGGGGAAAGTCAGATTTGCTTAATATGATTCACTTAACAACTGCAGTGATTGGCTTAGCAATTGTGGGAAAAAGTTTGTAAAATGGGGCAAAACCTATGGAAATGTTGGTAAGCAAGAACTACCTTCTATGGAACAAATATTGAATATATTGAATTTTTTTAAAAAAAAAAATCCTTCCTAAAAGAAATTTTATTTCATTGCTTTTAAATTATCATATGCTGGATAGTCATAAATTGAGATCATGTGATTCAGTCTTGTTCTGGTAAAAACACAAACGTTACTTTAAAGTTTTCCAATCTTTGACAAATCTCCAAATATGTGAATGTTAAGTTTAATAATTCCTGCAATTCGATTATTTAAGGAATGAATAATTGTTTCATTACTTTGGTACTATAATGTTTACACACTTGTTTTCATTTCTCTGGTTTTTACTCTTGTAAGCTGTCCAGATTAGTCCCTTGGCAAGACGGGCAGTAGATAAATTTAACAAATAAATAATTAAATACATTCTGGAGCTTGAATTTCAGGCTTCTTGAAGCTGCAAAGCTGGAGAGCACTTCTTTAAAAGGTCGCTGCATCAATTGCTCTTGTCTAAGAATATTGTTTCTAACCTACATAAAAAGTTAAAAAGTTTTCTCAGTTTTAGAATTTTAGCTGAAATTCTTCTGACCATTAGTATATCCTGTGTCTTAAGCTGTGGTTTCTCTGAGCAATATTTTAATATTATTTTTTATATATTTCCAGCTTTTGGAAATTAACTGGACAGGATTGACCAATCTTCTGGATATTCCAGGACTCAAGTAAGCTGAAACTGAATGAATTTATTTCTGTTGTACAACTTAATATGCATATGTGTTCGTCAGATTTTGCAGAAGGTTACAGGCATGTCTTCCATCTATGCTCTATTGTGAAAAAGAACCCATGCTACATTCTGGTAGTCATCAGCTTATGATGATTCGTTCAGCAACTATTCAAAGTTACCATGGTGCTGAACAGATGGTGGTTATGACCAGTCTTGTGATCTGGGCACTGGACAACTGACTTGCACTTACAATGTTAATATGTTATTGTTTGCAACCTTGTCTGCCAGTTTCCAGAAAGTCGGGTAGGGGAAGTTGCTATGTCTCCCTTACGCTTTTGCCACAATCTGCTATTACAGCTTCTGACGGCTATATAATACTGTCCTGTGATATCACTGGAAGGGTAGAAGTTGAGTTTGAGTTGGGAATAGGGTTAATATTAACACTTGGCATATGATGGTCAAACAAAGTATAGTATCTGATTTTAACTTGGAACAAAAATGAAAGCCTGCAGTTTATAAAATGGTTAAATAGTGCAATATACAGGTGGTTCTCAGCTTGCAGCCAAAATAGAGCCCAACATTTCACATGAGTTTTACCCCATTTTACGACTTTCCTCGCCATAGTTGTTAAGTGAACCATGGCAATTGTTACTTTAGTAATATGGTTGTTAAGTGATTCTGGTTTCCCCATTGGCTTTGCTTATTAGAAGGTTGCAAAGGGGGTTCACATGACACCAGGACATTGCAAATGTTATAAATATGAGTCAGTTGTCAAGTGTCTGAATTTTGATCACATGACTGTGGGGATGCTGCAGCGGTCATAAGTGTGAAAAATGGTCTAAGTCACTTTTTTTAGTGCTGTTGTAACTTCGAACAATTACTCAACAAATTGTTGTAAGTTGAGGACTACCTGTATAAGATTGTGAATGGAATTCTTAATTCACTCAGTCATTTTACAAGCTAAAGTCTAATGGATAGGTTGGATTTTAGTTTTAGTTGAAAATAGTTTTAGTTTTAGTTTTGGCTGAAATATGTTTTAGTTGAAAAATGTTTATTGGGGAAAGGTTTATATAATTATCAGTAACAAAATTAGGTTTCTATACTGTTCATTTTTCTGGGTGAATCAACATCTTCTGTCATCTTTAATACTGTAACATGAAGAAGAAAACATTTTTTTATGCATGAAAAGCTATTTTCATTCTAGCTGTCAAGTCCTAGTTGGGTCTTGCTTTCAAAGAAAAACAGTAAGTCATTCCAGCTTTCATTGTTGTCAAACGATTTTCAGACCTGAAGTGGAAAATATTTGAGTTTAAGCGGTGAAGCCATTCTATACAATTGATGTGTATATTTCCACATACCTTAACAAAATCAGCTGCTTTTAGTGTTTGCCGTATGTTGCAGATATTTAATTAGGTTTAAATATTTCAGTTTCATCTTCTGCTTTTATCTGATCATTGATAGTACACTAGTGAAAATTTAAAAAAAACAACAGAAGTTAAGCTTCCTAAATAAAAGTATAGCAACAATTTCATTGCTAATTCTGATGGTATATTTTTAGGATTGTATTTTTTATTGTTTTTGTAGTCATCTGCATATATAAGGTCAGTGACAAATTCCATACTTATTTGTGAAAATGTTTCTCATGATGACATATACAGGTAGTCCTCAATTTACAATTGCCCGTTTAGTGACCGTTTTAAGTCACAATGGCATTGAAAAAATGACATGACCAGTCCTCACATTTATGACTCATAGTATCCCAAGAGTCACATGAACAAAATTCAGGGACTTGGCTACCGGTATATATTTATGATGGTTACAGCATCCAGAGGTCATGTGATCATCATTTGCAACCTTCCCTGCCAGACTTTCCAACAACAAAAGTCAATTAGGAAGCTAGAATTGCTTAAGGACCATGTGCTTCATTTAACAGCTGCAGTGGTTCATTTAACCATGTCCAAAAAGGACATAAAATTGGTGTGACTTATTTTAACAAACAGTCTTGCTTAGCAATGGAAATTCTGGTCCCAATTGTAGTTGTAAGTTGAGGACCACTTATACAGAATGGTAGTGAGATAGGACACGTCCTTGACATGCCCTTATGCAGACTAGGAAATCTTCTGACAGTCGACTTTTGATGTGAACTGCACAGTTGAGGCATCACAAGTGTGCCACGGGAACCATCTGATTTAATTCTCTCAGCAGCAAGTGCTTTCCACAGTGCACTTGTTGTTAGTTGCGAAGTCGTGTCCGACCCATGGACAACTTTCCTCTAGGCCTTCCTGTCCTCTACCATCTTCTGGAGTCCATTTAAGCTCACGTCTACTGCTTCAGTGACTCCATCTGCCACCTCATTCTCTGTCATCCTCTTCTTCTATTGCCCTCAATCTTTCCCAGCATTAGGCTCTTCTCCAGTGAATCCTTCCTTCTCATTAGGTGGCCAAAGTACTTGAGTTTCAATTTCAGGATCTGGCCTTCTAAAGAGCAGTCAGGGTTGATCTCCTCTAGGACTGTCCGGTTTGATCACCTTGCAGTCCAGGGGACTCGCAGGAGTCTTCTCCAGCATCATAGTTCAAAGGCCTCAATTCTTTGATGCTCTAAAAGAACCTACCACCACTGATTGTTCACCAGCAGTTATAGACTTCAATGGAGTGCAAATTAGGAAAGGTTTGGGCCTCATACTACAGGGTGGGAAAGTGCCTTAACTGCTGAAGTGAAGCACCAAAACTGGATTGCCCCAGCAGCTTTTGTTTAATCATCAGATGCCTAACATTACTATATCGACTAAAATGTGACTGTTTTGTCCACTGATACCACTATTGCTACTATAGGGAGCTGAATCATGGACCCTTACATAGCCAGAAATCTAAAATGTGGAAACCTTCCAAATGTACTCTCTGTAGAATCCTTGGCATCACACTGATAGACTCAGTAAGAAATGAAACCATCAATCAGCAAAGCTGCAATCAGCCAACCATAGCTGATGAAATCCAAAAATGATGGCTGACATTATTTGATGCACCCTTAATAGAGATATAAATATCTCTATTGTTTTTGAAGACAATTGTCTTCATAATTACATACTAGCTCTTTTCATTCCCCCCCCCCCACACACACACTAAAAAGTGTCTGCTGTGACTTCTTGCTTGGCTCCTGGCCTCTTTTGAATTATCAGTGAGATGTAGCGTCCAAAGCACCTGTTGATCATTTAGCAATTTTTGACTAAATACAGAATTGCACTGCTTCTGGTAGCTGGTTCAATCGGATGAGAAGTGGCATGTGTTTTGTGGCAGCTAGAAGTGGCATGTGTCTTCTGTTTAGAAAATACATTTGCTTGGGGTGGAGGGGATGGTGGTTGGAACTTGCATCTTTCCATCTGTACAATGGAGAAGCTATGGTCATGGGACACTAGTGTTGTATATTTGACACTTAGCCCTCTTGTGCTTTATGAAGATCATGTCATTAACAGCCCTTGCAGCTACACGGTTGGTAGCTTAGTTCCCTAATGTAAAGATTTTCCTGCTGTAGGGGAATATAAATTTATTTATTTATATATTAAATTTAATTCACCCATGAGGAGCTATTCTTCCTCATCCTTCCAGAATTTTTTTATTTCAAAGGAAAATATCAAAATTGACCTTTTTTTTTGGTGAGATTATGACAGAGCAGTCAGGTGGGTGTATACAACCACAGTGAAGTTTAATTAGTCTTTATTGTTGACAGCTGCTTTGATGTGAGTACCATTTAAAATTTGTCGGTATACATTAATTTAGGAGCTGTTTGAAAGTAACCAAGGCTAGACTGTAGGCATGTTTTACAATTAAACAAACTAGCTGCATTTCATATAAACCACTTAAATCCCATGATACTTGCTGCTCTTTGAGCTGTACTGATACCAGTCAGAGTATTTTTTTTCTTAAATTGGGATTTTGCTGTAAACATCTATCTTGCAAATCTAGGGGAGCTCCAAGAACAGAGCTGGATTCATATAAATGAGAGTCCAGTATTAGCTGTTTTCTTTCATCTGTTCCCATCCCTGTTGTTAATAATCTCTCTTTTTTATTATACCTGATGTACATCTACACATAGACAACCCTGCTCTCTGCATTCCACTTCTTTTCAGTCAGCGTATTAAGATGTACAGATACTGGACGGTTTGTGCTTTCCCCAGCCTATTTTATTGTTTTCCTTCTTGGCTTGATACAGGACAACAGAAGATTGTGGATAGTATTTATGGGCAGGGACAGAGATGACTCAGTGTTCATGTTTCATAGCAATTCTATAAAAAGATACCCTAATTAGAATTAATGGATTGACTTCATTATTTCCTAATTCTTCATCTGGAGTAACTTCATTAATTCTTATTTCTCTCCCCCATGCTCTCTCTCCAAAAAAGGTGATGGGGAAAAATATGTATATTAGCTTTGTAATATTTGTTTTTAAGCACAATATTTAGTAATATTTTAATGTCTGTTTCAATCTTTTAATTATTTTTCACTTGTTTTTAGAATTTGTAAACTGTCCAGAATTACCTTGTAGGGGAGATGGGCAATATAGAAATTTAATAAACAAATAAATTTTGTTTAGGCTAGGGTTATGGCAGCCCAGATTAATTTTTGAATTAATTTAACTTTGTAACATTTGCCGTAATTAACTTCATAATATTTGTTATAAACAAGATGAAAGTCCTAAGGGAGCAGGTTGATGTGATTTACGGGTAGGCAGACAATAAAGCAGACAAATTGACAGCATATTTTATTTGCTGTTTTGCTTCAGCTTGGCCTTTAGAAACAAAATAATATGAATATTAAACTAACAGTGCCTCATCGATTTGCACTGTAGAAAACAGAAATGCAGAATAAGGAACCTTTTGAGCTAATCAGTAGGCCATCATAGTCATATTATGATGAAAGATAATGCAGGAAGGAAGAGTAAGGTTTATACAGACATAATAAGGCCATTTGTTTTATTCTAAACTGCTGTTTCCATCTTGTGGTGATCAAAGGTATTGATGAGATTCATACATGCTTCGTGATTACTTCCATTTTTGGATCATTTGAAAAGCAAATCTTCAGCACCAGCACCATTACTTAAAGGAAATAGGGCTGTGCAAAAATTTATTTCTCTCCTAAAAATATTCTGCAAGAAAGGAAGATAGGTTGGAATGTTTCTCATCCATATGATTCAATTTAGTAGGCTGGTTGTTGCTGTTATTTTCCTTCTTAAATAATAGAGACAATCCATAGCCTCTTTTATGCCACACTGAATACCATATAAACTAAATCACAGAAGTCTGTAAAAGATAATAGTGGTCATGGAAGACAAAGTGTTTTCATAGGTGGGCTAGTTGTAAATTTTGTAAATTATATAGCTGGTTTGTGAAGTGGAAGATAAAAATGTATTGAAGAATGAATATATTGATGGTTTGACATCCCAGACAACCCCCCCCAAACAGCCCCCCCCAGGCAGAAATCAGATTAAGCAGAAGACTAAACTGAAATAGAGAATTTCAACTTGGATATTTATTTTCCTGCCCTGCTGTGCATTAGAATTGCAGCTTGCATGTAATTATTTTGATAATGGCAGCATGAGTAATTAATGCTAACCTTAAAATATCTTCATTGATTTTTTTTCCATTTAGCGGATTATCTGACACTATAATACTAGATATAATATCTAATTATCTAGTGCTTCCAAATCGAATCACTGTTCCTTTTGTCAGTGAAGTGCAGATTGCTCAGCTGCGATTCCCCATACCAAAGGTAAGGTTTTTTTAACATAATATTGTGACATAACAAAATGTTTGTTTATCAAAGTGTTTTGCAGAACAGCCTCTGACAATAATGGTTATAAAAAGGCTAAACTTTAGATACTAAAAAAATAAAACATTTCTAGCAGCTAGATAACAATTCTTTGAATGTGGCTTTTAAAGCTATTGTTGGACCATTTTAAAACAGCAGAAATTCTTTTTTCTTTCTGTACCATTGGGATTTGTCTGGAAACTATGAGTTGCAACCAGTTGGGTGGATTTGTCTAGTTTGTTTAAGAAATGCTAATCCCAGTAGTTCCCCTCCATCCAGATATTTCCATGGCAGCATGAAAGGAACTCTGGAGAAGTGACTCATTTCTGAACGCCTGTAACATGCAAAGTGTTTGAGTTTTCATGCATCAAGAAATTACTGGTTTGTTTTTTTTGCCAAACTCATTTCCTATTATTAAAATTATGGCATACATGAAAATAATACAAAATTAATGCCAACTTATCTCTGACTTTTTTTTCTCCTTTATCCTAGTCTTAGCAATGTCCACAAAGCAAAGGCGGGCACAGGGGCATCAAAAAAGTAAAAATGGAGATTGCAATGTTGTGATTGTAACCACATTCCTTTAGTGCATATGTTGATGTCACACATGAGTACAGAAGAGTGGGGGAGAGCTTCAGTTCCACTGCTGCATCCCGATGCTTTTCACACGCACACAAACGCACACACACACACACACGATCCTGCTACTGTTGCTTACTGTACATCTTTATTAAAAGTGCAAAGATATAATGAGGAGGAACTCTGCCTTTATTTATTTTAATTACTCACTACCTGCATAATTTCAACAATTCATAACTACTATGTCTAGTCTTCAAAATAATTTTAAAAAATCAATTTAGTTCTGCTGTGTCTAGTCTCCATAATAAAGAATTTAAAGAATCAATTTAGTTTCCAATCTATCTTTAGAGATAGATTGGAAGATATTAGGACATATTCCATTCAGTTATGCTGATGATACCTTACTGTTTAATGTTGTATGATGGACAACTTTTCTTGCCTCTTCTCAGGGTGTTTTAAGAATACATTTTCTTGAAGCTCAGGATCTTGAGGGAAAAGATACTTACTTAAAGGGACTCGTTAAGGGAAAGTCTGACCCTTATGGAATCATTCAATTGGGAAATCAAATTTTCCAAAGCAAAGTTATCAAAGAAAATCTTAATCCAAAGTGGAATGAAGTTTATGAGGTATGAAACTACTGCCCAGTATTAGTTTTGAAAAATGTGTTTAAGTCTTTTAGCACCTCCAAGACTGATAACATATAATTCTATTATAAATACGTTGATCTTCAATGGCTTTTTTAACTGTTGAAGAAAAATTGATATTGCAGTTCAGATAAAACACCAAGTCATGTTTAGTACAAAAATGATCCTTGTGGTTTATATATATTCTTTCTCACCATGTCTCTGATTTACTTATCTGTGATTTACTAGCAAGTTGCAGTTTTATATTGGATCTATACCATAAAAACTGTGAAAATGCTAGTAAATGGATGGTTTGGAGTGAATATTGTAGTAAGCAATATTAGACTGAGAAAAGAGAAACTCAGATTAAAGGTCCTGCTTAGTCATGGACTTCATTGGATGATTTTGGGCTAAGTTAGAATAACTAACTCAATCTACCTTTACAAATGTTGTAAGATAAAAGTGATAAAAACACATGTGTGCTGCCCTAAGCTCACAGAGGAAAGAGGCTTCCTAAATTTTTAATCACATCAGAGACAACATATATTTGACAGTAATCTGTTAATGTTTTTGTCTAATTTAAAAACGCTGAAATCTAAGTCAAACAATAAATTGGCTATCTTGTTTGTTATATTTCCAGGCCTTAGTTTATGAACATCCAGGGCAAGACTTGGAGATTGAACTCTTTGATGAAGATCCAGACAAGGATGACTTTCTAGGAAGGTAAGTGTCAAACTATTGTAATAGATAAGAATGCATGTCTTTTTTTAAATTTGAAATTCTGTCTTGGGATCCCACTATCCAGATCAATCCATAAATGAAAGGAGTAAAGGTAAGCTCTAAGAGTCAGAAAGAAGCTAGCAGCAAATATATTTCCAATATATTCTATTATTACCTGGGTGTATGCAAAATTCTGTGCCTTCGAAAAGTTGTTAATACTTTTGGTATAAATTTTTTAAAAAGTTACCATATGAAAAGAAAGCAAAGCAATATTGATTGTAGTAGAAGTAGCAATTCACAGCTATAATTACTGCACACAATTTCTTTTTCATCTTGAATGTAAGTATGTTTGGCCTTTACTATATAAGGAATGGACAACCATAAAATGGTTTATCCTTATTTCTCTTCTCCCTCCCTCCCGACATCTTGTTCTTCTGCTTCAAAGACCTAAACTTTTCTGCAGCAGATCCTACCATCTTATTCACAATTCTTAAAACAAGATAACCTTTGTTTCATACCTCAATCACATATCCTTTTTTTTTTTGGTTCAGAATTGCCTTTTCAGTTTTTTCTAGCATATTCACTATTTTGCTGGTACAAAATTCCAGCTTCAGGTTCTGTAGTTCAGATAATGGTCTTCTAATGCATTGCATTGTGTTTTTTTAGCCTGACAATAGACCTAATTGAAGTTGAAAAGGAACGTCACATAGATGAGGTAAATCTCTATTCAGCCTGGGGAGGACAGTGACAAGGAAGGTTCATACAATAAATCTGCAGTGCTTAATCAAATATTGGATCTGTTTTGCAATTTTCAGCAAAGGCTTCAGATTTCCTTGAATAGATTTCCTTAGTTTGATTATAGCATTTTGTGTTAACAAGTAGAATTGAAGACATCAGCCATAGGAGTGAAATATAAGCAATCCTCGACTTACACCCATAAGGAGCCTGCCCATCATGATCATGAGACATGACAATTATAACGGGTCAATCATGTGACCACCTTGATTTTATTATCTTTTTTGAAGTGGTTGTTAAATGAATCCATAGATATTGAACAAATGCTGTGGTTCTTAAGCAAACAGTAGTTTGCTATGGACATGATTTTGCCAAAAACCAGAAATAAGTGCAAGTTTTTGGAAAAACAATCATAAAATGTGATCATATGATTGAAGAATGCTGCAGATGGCTATAAAAGTTCTTGTTAAATGTGTTTTGAGTTATCCTAAGCTAAATATTCAAATGCTTAATTCTGAAAAGTCATTGCATATATCTTATTGTGAAACAACTTTACTATAGTTTTCTGGGTGAAATGTCTATTTGCCTATTTGATAAAATGCTTTTATTCTGTCAGCTACAATGCCTTTTCATACGAAATGTCTTTAGTTGACTTAACCCAGGAATTTGTATGTCATGTTGATAAATTTTTCAGCAAATGGCTTTGGTTCTTACTACAGTTTATGGACTTTTCTTACAGTGGTTTACTTTGGACGAAGTCTCCAAAGGAAAATTGCACTTGAAACTCGAATGGCTCACATTGAAGCCTACTGTTGAAAGTCTTGACCAGGTATATTTATATACTCTTTTTTCTGCATTTGAAAAGACTGTCATTAAAAATATATCTTTATGTGTGTGGTCGTCCACATTCATTTAGACATGCTCTATTTCTAGAAGAATTTAGGCACAAAAATCCAAAATTCTCCTAGCAAGAGAGAAAGGGCTTCATGATGTTGCTTTTCAACCTTTGGGAAAGAAATGGCAGACTTAAGACTGCTTGGCAGAAAACAGAGCCAATGACTGTGGCAAACGAAGAGCCAGCAAGTAGACTAGCTCTTTAATAATTCCTCTCTGGACAAGGAGAGGACTTGAGGTTGCCTATAGATGCTCTAGTCAGCTGCTCCTCGTGAGCAGACTGCAAGATAGTGGCCTTTGGTCTATTTGGAGCCCTGGGAAATGAAAGAACAACCATCTTGCTCAAATCATATTTGACAGCTTTGAAAGAATAGTAAATTTGCATATTTTTCTAATCAGTTTTGGAAATAGTATGTTAACTGCATTTCAGCTATTAGAAATTTTCGGATCAACAGGTTTTATAGCACCAGATGAGTTTAAGAACTAAAAAAAATTTAATAAACAGCAAGAGAGTGATTAAAACTTTGATTTTAGAAAATTACAAATGAACTAAGGATCTAGATAAGATTTTATTTTTACTTTTGAAGAATTTTGTGAGAAAAGACAGAAAAAATGAAATCAAATTTGTATGATATGTATTTGAAGAAACTAAAGATTAAAATTATAAAAAGTAAAAGAAAATAATATGAAGTTGATTTGTTTGATTAAGACTAAAATAGTTGTTATTTCTAGTAGCCCTTAGTGGAGTTTTGCTACCAACACTAGTAAAATAATAGTGTTTTATAGATTTGTTTCTAGATTAAAAAATGGGATATGGGAAGTAGATGTCATTTGTTGTATTTTAGGAGAAGGTGGTATGTTACTAAAATTGCATATACTTGTAATGAAGATGGGAATTACTTCTTTATATTTCTTATATTATTGTCTTATATTATTTTTCTTTTCTATTCTTTTCCTTTTTTTCTCTTTTATATCCTCTATTCTTTCTTTTTATTCTTCTATTAGTTTTTACTTTGGTAATTGTTTTTATAATAAAATTATTATATATAAAAAAGGAAATATTGCTTTTCATATCATTTGTCATATGCCGAACAGTTAATACAGAAAAAAATTATGTAGAATTTTAGAAATAGCATTAACAGCAAGAATAATGCAGTGAAAACATTCCCGTGTTGCAGAATTTCTTTTCAGATAAGGAATTTTTATTCAAACCTAGTTTGGTTATGTTTGGAAAAAGCTAAAGCATTTTATTTTAGGATAACTGTTGGCTCTCTTGTTCTTTGATATATAAGATATAGTAATACAGTTTTAAATTATTATGTGTGATTGCAGTTTATTTTCTCATTTGCACTTTTTAAGTTGCTTTCTTTTTAGTTAAAGATGAAGCACAAAACTAAAGTTTTTAATACTTTTATGGTTTTAGGTGCTAAAAAGCATAAGAGCTGATAAAGATCAAGCCAATGATGGGCTTTCTTCAGCATTGCTTATTCTTTATTTGGATTCAGCAAGAAATCTGCCAGTAAGTTTTGGATGATAATGAAGCTTCTCTTGAGTGATTCTTAATTTTCTTTGGTCACACATTGCTTACTACTGTGCCACTTTGCCTCACTAATCACTTTATGTTTTAATTACTTTTCCTCATGCATTCCATAACATTGGTAATTTTCTATGATAAATATACCTTGCGGCTGAATTTATTTTGCAGAATCAGTAATCTAATCACATTTATAGATCAATGCCATTTTAATTTACAATAAATTAAAAGCATTTATTAATAGGTAATCTTATAAAACAATTTTGTGGACACTTGTGAAAGGAAAAATAGATAGTTGGTCAATTCCATCTTCAAATGAAGGAAGACGCTTTTAATCTAAAACTATGATGCTATAGGATATATCTGTGCATACTTGCATTCAAATGGTGCTTTTCCTTCTATGAATGGAATCTCATTTAAGGTAAAAAAATAAAATAAATCCAAACAATATAGTAGGGTGATCTGAGCAAGGACATTTTGTGCTTTTGTTGTAGGAAATCAGTAGAGATAACCTAAAACCAGCTTCTGATGTGAATTGTTAGTGAAAGTGACTCTTTTTTTCTATTCTAGGCTATTTTTCAAATATATAAATGTTTGAGCAGGGTTGGTGTGAATAGTTTCCCACATATGCTTGCAAGCTTATAATTAAAAGATCTGTTTACTGTCCCCAAATAGCAGTTCCCAGAATAGCTGTGGAAACACCTTTCACTTTGTAAAAACAAAATTTGCCCACACACATTGCTCTGATTGTACAGATTTTTCAGAGAGAACCCAAATATGTATAATTGGAGTGCTTCATGGAAAATTCCATAGATTTAAACTGTAAACCATGGTATGTCTTTTAACACCTTTAATATTTGTAGTAAAGCATACATTTGTTTTCTTCATCTAGCCTTTAGGAAGGAAACTCCTAATGAAGTTTACTAATGTGATTTGAAGATAAAATATTGGACAAGTATCAATGGTCATTATGAAGTTTTCTGATTTATGATTTTGCCATTTCAAAAACAGAATTCCTCCTGAACATTAGATAAAGTTGGTAATAATGATAATGGTGCATATATGGGAAGTTGATTGGCAACATTTTTAAAAACATGTTCTGGTACAACTTTTCTATTCTTTTCTTTGATTAAAAAAAATATAATAGTGAATAATCATATACAGGTAGTCCACGACTTACAATGATTCGTTTAGTAACTGTTCAAAGTTACATTGGCACTGAAGAACCGTTGCAGCATTGTGTGGTAATGTGATCAAGATTTGGATAACTAGCATTTATTTATGATAGTTGCAGGATCCAGGAGTCATGTGATCACTTTTTGAGATCTTCTGACAAATAAAGACAAAGAGGAAGCCAGATTCACTGAACTGCTGTATTACTAACTTAACAACTGCAGTGAGTGAGACAAAACTCTCTTAACAACTATCTTGCTTAGTAATGGAAATTGTGGGCTCAGTTGTGGTAATAAGACGAGGACTAACTGTACAGAATTTAGACAAATCTTTCCAAATTAGATAAGTTACTAAAAAAAATATAAAAAGTATTTGAAGTAATACTCCTAAAATGGGATTCCTCTTCCATTTTTTATTTATTGAAGGATCTTATTCAAGACTGGAATAAATTAAACCCAGTCTTCTAAGAATTATATCCTTGTCTTAGATCTCTTGTGGCCTCTAAGCCAAAAAAAAAGATTGTCAGAGTCATGAATCAATGCTAAACAATGAAGTGGCAACTCTTGATTGCCTGGGATTAATCTCCCAGTTATGAAAGTCCTTTGGAAGGATGTGTTGCAATCATTACTATGCCAATAGTATATCTTTGTCAAGACTGTGATCTGGGGGCACCAGAGCATTTCTGCAGTACATGAGGCGAAATCTTGGATTTGTTATTGTGTTTGTGTTATATTTCATTTTATGTCCTGGAACTCTTGAATAGAATACTTTTTATTTTATTTTATTTTTAAAAAAAATTAGAAACAATGTGTAATAATGGGTCTCATTGCATCATAATCATCTGATAGTATAATATTAACATTTCCTTAAAAGAAATAAAGCTTTTTCCCTTTGTGCAGAACGGTTACCAATTAAGGTTAGAGCACAGCTTCTATATATTCAGAAAATCTTGTGGGTTTTTTTTTTTCATTTACAATGGTAGCAACCTTATTAATGTCTGGTATAAAATGTGGTGCATGAGTACACTAAAAAGCTGTTATTGAAAGGTGTGATTTTGTTGTAGAAGTGGTATCTATAGCTAAAATGCACCCAATTGCAGGAGAAAAAAAATTGTCTGGAAATGTTGATAAAGCTAGATCAATAATGGAAAAAAGCGCTATTGGCTTATTCTTTCATCATATAATTTTCAGTACTTCAGTTTTCCGTATCTGTGCTAATGGTAAAGCTAATTGAGCCCTCAGGCTACTAGAATCCCATGACTTTCTGCTTTCTCCTTCCGTTTGCATTTTCCTAAAGAGTATCTACGAAGGAAAATTTGGGTGTGGATACTTAAAAGAGAGGAGAGCATCGGGACTAGTCTTTTGTGAAAATACTACCTCAGTCTATAGAGAACTATTTGTGAGTTCTTCAGGTTTACATGTTCGTTTTACAAAATAACCCTTTTTTTAACTTTGGTGTTTATATACCCACTTTGCCCTAATGTTGGAATGGAGGAGCATGCAGTACTTTGTTTTTTTTAAGTGCATGATTTTAGAAGTTTGTATTGTTTTGGCTACATTTTCAGTGGTTAATTTAGCTTGTCAGCTAAATTTGCTAATTTTTTCAGAGACTAGCATGCTCAATTATCTACTTGAAGAAATGAAATGGTCATGAACTGTAAAAATCAACATATTTTGTAATTGTTTTGGAAAGTAAGTGCAAGTATTGAGTGCGGCATATGTAAAGTCCCAGAAGGTCTTTAATTTGGTTCAAGCTGCATAATGAAAATTGGAATGATATGTATTACAGAAAAAATATACCTTGTGCAGCCTTTTGTCATTAAAATATGGATCCATAACATAACCGTTTCCATCCAAGCACCCTGAAATAGATTTTGCTGAAAGATATTGCCTAGTGCAAAGACAGCTAGTAAACTCCACAGTCAAGTAGAAATTTGAAAGAGTTACAAAAATAAAATAAAATAAATTGGGGGGGGGGAATTCACATTGCAAAATCATTTCAAGCTTGCAAACCACTGATGTTCCTATTTTGTGGCATCTCATTATTGGGTTTACTTTGAGAATCTTGATTGCCTTAAGTTTCTGAAATCAAACTAATAACAGGCCTGGTTATGTGTTTGGATCCAAGTTGGAAAGATTGCAATGTAATACCAAAACAACTTGTCAGAATTAAATTCTCTATAATTTTGCTATCAGTCCTTAAACTCTGATTTCAGTGCATTGTTAAAACTGCCAGCTCTATTAAGGCAATTGAAACGATGTGTTACAGAAGTGAAAGTTGATCAAAAAAAGAAGCTCTTTAACAGCAACTTGACCCAAATTAAACTTCACCTTGTTTTTTTTTTCTTTGTGGAACTGGAACTGTTCCTTCTCTTTTTATAGCTTAAAGATTCCTTAATAAGCATTATGGAATTTGCATGGCAGTGGCATGTAAGCTGCAAACATCTCTGTCATCTGTTATTTTTACTTAGATACTGTTGGCTCCTCTTCATCAAAAGCAGTTATGGTATTCATCCTAAACTGAGGAGAATTTTGTGAGGCAAAATTTCATGGCAGTCTTGAATGCATCTGTTATGTGTGTGAATCTCTCCAAAGAAAGTACTGTAGCAAGAACCATTAGGCGATGAAAATTAAATGCTAAGAAACTACATGGGAAAAAAGTAAGAGGAGACTTTTTCCAGTCCAGGCAAATATACATTCAGCATAAAACTACTACCAGGCCAAAGCTTTTAGAAGCATAGAGAAGGGGCACTTTTTCTAAAAGTACATCATGCTGCATCGTTATTACACTTAAGTAGACAGCCAAACAGAGGTTATAAAGAGCATAGACAAGACAAATTTAGAGAAGAATATAGGAAGTCCTCGAGTTATGACCGTAATGAAACCTGCCTACCATGGTTGTAACTTGTGACAGTCATAAAATGGATCATTCATGTGACTGACCCAATTTTACATATATAATTTTTTTGTGAAGGTTGTTAAATAAACACTATAGTTATTAAGCAAATCAATTAATTATGGGTGCAGTTTTGCAAAAAAAAAAATCGGCGTAAAAATGCAACCAAATGACTGCAGGACATTGCAAACAGCAATAAATGCAACTCTATTGTTGAGTGTCATGAAACTGTAGAAGGGCTAATCAATGGAACTTTGAATCTGGATCATAAGTCCTCTTCACCATCAGTAGCTCCGTCAAAATTTTGGTTGCTAAGGAAGTGATTATAAGTTGAGAACCATATACAATATACAGTATTATACTACACACATATACATATATGTTCAATGATGCAATCTTCGATCTCCGGGAAGAGTATACTCCAGTTATTTATTGTTAAAACAACATTTAAAACAATAAAAACAGTTATATACAAGGTTAAAACAACTTAGCTTTCACTGGTCCTCTTCCAGCGTCCTCAGAGTGGGGCTTAAGGACACTGGACCAGCGAAAGCTAAGTTGTTTTAACCTTGTGTATATATACACACACACACACACACACACACACACACACACACACACAGAGACAGACATATTCACACAGTAGAGTACCTGTATACAGTACCTTTTTAAAAATAAGTATTCATAAATTTATGATACTATCTTTTTTTCCTGCCCATCTGACCTTATATTTTTTTAGATTTGTTTAATTAGAGAAAAAGGAAACTGGCGTACCCCAAAGCAAAAGTCCAGTCTTTAGTTCATCTTTATAGCAATAATGTTCTCAACAGCCTACACAAGATTTCTTGAGGTAAATATTTGGATAGGAACTTTATTTGGAAGTATGCTTCCTGCCAAGAAGACAAGCAGAAATTTTGATTTAGATTTCTAATCTAAATTTTAAAAAGATAGAGAGAACTTAGGTGATTAAACGGAGTGAAACAATCTAGAAGTAAATTCATCCTTAGTTAAAAAGCTTAGTGGTCAACAACTCTTCAGTTCATCAGACATAAACTTTCTGTCAATTTTTGGTATAATTTTTCAGCCTCATGATGTATAATATTGAGACATATGTACAAGTTTTTATTTAAAAAATTCTCATTGAAAACAAGACTCACTGCAGACAAACTTTAAACAGTTATTCCGGAGGACAGAGAATTCCACCTCCTTTTCCTGTTTTCAGTTAGCTAGAATGCTTTGCCTAGCAATTTAGTTTCCATTCCATTTTTTAAAGTGGGATTTAACTGTATGTTCTATCTCAGAAATTTTGGGACAAAATGAAACCTTAGAGTCCCTCTCCTTCTCTCTCTCTCTTTTTAAGAATTCCTAATTTCTGAAATCAGTTTGGTAGTGCTGTAGTTTTAATTCACTATAGTTTGCCTGCTTTACAGTTTTTCTGAAATAAAATTAGAAATTGTTAATGAAAATTATCAGCTGGTTAGATCTAGTCTACTTTTTGTATCCATATCATCAAATCAAATGCGTTGGAGGATTGTAAAAAAAAAAAAAAAAGGTACAGCAAATAAGAGAATCTTAGCCTGACTGGAAAAAGTCAGTGAAATATTCTAATTTAAAATGGAATAAGAAAAAAAGGGTGTATCAAGTTAGTTTTTAGAAATAACAAAATGTTCAAGCATTTTTCTCTTTCTTCTGAGAACGTTTGTTTGGTCTGCCATTGTTGTCCTGTCCTTAATTAACCAATTGGAACTACTTTGTTGCATGTCATATTAACCCTCCGTATGTTCATTTTCTTCTGGTTTAAAAGCATAATCCATTAGATTATAATCCAGAAGCCTTGAAGAAGTCTGCTGTTCAGAAAGTCTTAAAGGTAAAAGTGACACAATTTTCCATTTAAAATCACACAATTAAATGAAGATTCTGGGCTGCCAGTTCAGTCTAATGGTGAAGGTAGTACCAAGCTCAAAACAAGAGTCTGTGAGTTGGGCATGAAAGCCATCTGGGTGACTTTGGGCCAATCACCACGAGACTTCAATTCTAGTCCTGTTTTAGGCATGAAAGCTGATTGCGTGACTATGGACCAATCACTCACTCTCAGCTCAACTCATCTCACAGTGTTGTTATTATGGGGAAAATAGGAGAAGGAAAAAGGATTAGATACATTTGTCACTTTGAGTTATGTACAAAAATTATAAAGGCAGTCTTAACAAAATTAGAAAATATCCTTAAGTATTTTGAATTCTAGGAGACATGGGCTTAGTGTCACAAAGTTAGTTCAGGACAAAATAACATTAATTTGTCTGTGAGCAGAAGGCAGATCCCATCAGTGGTTGCATTACATAAATTATAGAAACCATCTTTAATTTTAATAAGGAGTTATTTTTTTACAAAGTTGGCATTAGAGAGCCATCTATATTATTACTATTAAACAAATTAATTCTTCTAAAATAGTACTAAATGTCCAATACATTTTCAAAAGCATGCTTTTATTAAACCTGTTGATGCTTTTTTTTAATCCAGAGAATGTCTAAGTTCCTTGATCCCTTTTTAATACATTTGCTGAACTTGGAATGTAAGTGCATATTGGCAATGAAAATCTTCATAACAAAACTAAAATAAGGGCCACTAAGTCATCATGAAACACAAACCCTTTGTAGGCTTATTAATTCCATCTCTCTTGTTTCAGGATCACCACTGTAGATACAAACATGGAATTAATAAGACGAATTGCCAGTACAAAACTAAATTTAGTCCTGCCACTAATGTGGAAAGTAGGAGCAGTACTTTTTTGAAGATGCTGACAGCACAGAATAATTAGTTTATAAATTGTGCAGATGCACAACTTAGTATTGCTGATTGAACTGAAAGGCTAGCTGTAAGCAGATATATAGACAGTATATATCTGTTTCTCCTTACCTTAATTGGTAGCATATATAAAAAATGAATGTGGTTCCCTGTTTCCTGAGGCAATAAGTAAGACTTAAATCTTACTTCGGTTACTGTTAGAAACAAATTCTGCTTATATTAAAGAGGTAGTGCATTATATTCTGAGAGACATTTTGCCTATCCATCAGTTTTGCCATTCAGCAATGAATAAATTGTCTGAGTTTTAGTTAAGCATTTGGAAAACCAGAAACTGATAAAGTTAAGAAAAAAATAAGAAGAAATAAGTATCTAAACAACTCATTATCTGAACAGACCAAACATTCAATAAACAATACATTTTACCAAAGGCATGATTGAGACACTCCTGCATACATATTTAAAAATATGTAATATAAGAGAGGATGATATTGGTGAAGATCCCAATGGCTCATATTTTGCTCTTGATGATAATTTTCAATAAATGTAACTAATTTGGGAGAAAATCTGAATGAATTTTCTGTCGATTTAAAGATCTTCTCGGTGAGAAATAATTACAAGCAGATTGACAGGAAATTAAACTAAATATGTGTTACCCTTTAAAAATTCAAAATAACATGTGTTGAGATGAGAATACCCATATCTTTAACCTGCAATGTTTGTCTTAACATTGTTTTAATTCTCTTAATCATGTTGCTTTTTTGGAGTTCCACTTTAAATCAATTATTAATAATTTAGTTAATGTATTAACAGCATTGATAGATGCTTCAGATTAACTTCTGTAACTCCTTAACAAAAAATGTTTATCTGAGAAATTAGTAGGGAGCCTATTAACAGACATTCATAATCTTGAGTTCTATAACATTACTTTTGTAGTTCTAGTAAGAAAACTAGGTAAACCTATAATAGAAACCATAGCATAACATCTCTTTTGTTACCCTCCAAATGTTTTATGATTCTGACATTCCGTTCAATCATTCCATGTATGTAAGATTAGCTTTCTAAGCTTGCTTGCTGACCGCAACATTCATTCATTTTTTCTAATGTTGCTTTATTAATTTGGGAGGGGGGATGAAATGCTTATTTAAGGATGAAAGGTGGAGCACCTTAAACCAATTCATTCAAAAACACAATACTTGTAAAGAGGTTGGAAGCTTCAGTGATTTCTATGTACAAATCTTTCAAGGTAAGTTATGTGATTCCTATATCATATATGTTTGTGACACAGAATGTGGGTAGAGAGAAGATAAGAGTAATAGAATTGTTGTTTTCTGCATTTTCAGTCAGGGAAGAAAATGAACAGTAACCCAAATCCTCTTGTCTTAATGACAGTTGGACATAATGCACAAGAAAGCAAAGTAAGTGTTAACCCCTTTTCTCCTTTTCTGTAAAGCAATACAGTTCACACCATCCTATTTTTTTTCCGGGTTTTGTATATACAGGATCACATCAATCCATTTGTAAGAGTAACATTTTCTTTCAAAACTAATGGAACCCCCCCCCCATTCTCACCCCCAAGCAATTTGCAGGCACTTGGATCTGAATTAGAATTGGAGTGGGTAGCATGGTTTTTCTCAAAGGGACATTCGGATAAGAAGTACTGTATTGTAAGCTGCTTTAAGAGAACAATATCCTTCACATCTCTCTCTCTCTCTCACACACACACACACACTCACACACACACACTCACACACACACACACCCCTACAAATCATATTTCTGATCTGGATTGGGAGTACTGGTGAAATAAAAGGTTAAAAATACTCTGTTGCCCATTCCAGAAATCTAATCTGGATGAAATTTCCTGATATCTGTAATTTGCATTGAGGGACAAAGCCCATTGGAGAGTGTGAGGTACAGACTTCCAATGCAGATCACTTTGATGTTTGTATATATTTATATGCGTGTCTATGTTGAATACCTACCTCTGTGATTTCCACTGTTGTCCAGTGACCTTAGTATATTACCCAAGGACATGCAGTCCTTGGAGCAAAGGGAGAAGAATGTCTCTGTGTCTGTGTAAGTAAGCTTTGGTTTTTTTGCCATATATTTTAATAAAGAATCCTGCCTTTGAATAGATCCGCTATAAGACCAATGAACCTGTTTGGGAAGAGCATTTCACTTTTTTTGTTCATAATCCTCGACGACAAGAACTAGAAGTTGAGGTAGGTCTAGCTATTTGCTTGATCTGAGATATCTGTTGAGGGTGGAATGCCAGAATGGCTACAGCAGGGGTTTTCAAACTTAGCCCTTTTATGACTTGTGGACTTCAACTCCCAGAATTCCTCAGCCAGGCACGCTGAGTTTGAAGACCACTAGGCTACAGTATTGGAAGTATTGCAGCAAGAAATGTTTTACTCTCGAAATTTGTAAATGTTTTGCTGAATAGATAAGGGATCTATTCTTGGAAATAGTTGTGGTTCTGCCTATATGGAATCATTTGCTTAACAAATTTGAAGTATGTGATTATAAATTTTTTAAATTCTTTTGGTAATATATATATGTAATATAGTGTAAAATTTATTTTATACTAAACAGCATAAATGTCATATCAAATTTGGTTTTCTCTAGTGCTGGATTTGAGTGCAATACACTGAAATTCAGATTATAGGAAACAAAGATGTCCTGCTTAATTATTGATACATGCGTTGTTATTAAATTATTTCTAATACTGTATTCTTTTTCTTTATTAGAAAAAGCCAATGTGCCTAATACCTTTTTGCATGGGTTCATTCTAAGCTGATTAAGTTTATTAATGGGTCAAGGATCAGGTTAACTGAATAAAATTAACAATCAAAAAATTATTAACTTTTTTAAATACAGGTTTTCATTTAAATGTAATAATTCTTTTTCCTTCTTCTATAGGTCAAGGATGAACAACACCAGTGCTCCTTGGGAAATTTTAAGCTTCCTCTTAACCAACTCCTTGCAAGTGAAGATCTAACTATGCATCAGAGATTTCATCTTAACAATTCTGGTCCAAACAGCACTGTATACATGAAGATTGCACTCAGGGTATACTAGTTTCCTAAAATATATTTAAAATTAAGCATTGAGAATTGCGGTAATGGTAGTAATATGCAAATTATATTTGAAAAAAGAAAGTTGGCAAAAGGTTTTAAAAGGTGTGATTGCTTGGGAATAAGAAGTTGTAAACTTACTTACTTAATTGACACGTTGAAAGTTCTTGAGACCAAAACTGCAGACCATGGTGAAAGTGTCAATATATCCCATAGAGTAATATTGTCTGCATTTTAATGATGGAGCATAATGTTTTGCATGCAAGAGTTCAGTCAGCACCATGTTTCAGTTTTGCTGCCCAAAAGCAAAAGCAATTAAGATTTCTGCCTAAAGCTTTGGAGAGTTGTCTCCCATCACGTTAAGAAGAAATGCCCAGCGATCTAATTTTAATGTGAAACAATTCCTTTTCTTATATCTGCTTAATCTATAGGAAAGTTCACAGTTAGAATGAGTAAAAACAACTATAATGCTCCTTATGTCAAAATATGGCTCCCTTTAAAATGGCAAAATTAAGAGTTTAAAACGACACACAGTGCATCATGGTTGCATATCTTTACAACAGATAATAAATAAGGATATTTTCTGATGAATTAATAGTAATAGCAGTAGCAATAGCATTTAGGCTTATATACTGCTCCATGGCACTTTATAGCACTCTTTGGGTGATTTACAATGTAAGCATTATTTGTATATTGCCCCCGACAATCTGGGTACTCATTTTGCTGACCTCGGAAGGATGGAAGGCTGAGTCCTGTCAGGATGAAACTCCTGGCTGTGGGTAGAGTTTGCCTGCAATATTACAGTTTAATCTCTTACCACCAGGACTCTTTTCATATATAACATATCCACCAGGAAAGGGCAACCTGGTTGTCTCCCAAGTTATTTTGGATTACTCTTCTATAAATACTAGCCAGTATACACAAGAATGGGATAGGGATAGGGATAAGAACAGAACAGAATAGAATGACAGAGTTGGAAGGGACCTTGGAGATCATCGAGTCCAACCCCCTGCTCAGAGAGGAAACTCTATACCATTTCAGACAAATGGTTGTTCAATTTCTTCTTAAAAACTTCCACTGTTGAAGCATTCACTATTTCTGGAGGCAAATTGTTCCACTGATTAATTCTTCAGGAACAATTTTTTTCTTCTTAGTTCTAGGTTGCTTCTCTCCTCGATTAGTTTCCATCTGCTGCTTCTTGTCCTATCCTCAGATGCTTTGGAGAATAGCTTGACTCCCTTTTTTTGTGATAATCCCTGAGATATTAGAAAACTACTGTCATGACACCCCAGTCCTTCTCTTCATTAAACTAGAGATACCAGTTCCAGCAACCGTTCCTTATATGTTTTAGCCTCCAGTCCCCTGATCATTTTTGTTGCTCTTCTCTATGCTCTTTCTAGAATTTCAACATCTTTTTTACATCGTAGTAACCAAAACTGGATCCAGAATTCCAAGTGTGATCTTATGAAGGTATAATAAAGTGGTATTAACATTTCACATTATCTTGATTCTATCCCTCTGTTAAAGCAGACTAGCACTGTGTTGGCTTTTTTGACAGCTGTAGCACACTGCTGGCTCAAATTTAAGTGATTGTTCACTAGGACTTCGAGATCCTTGTCACAGTTACTACTATTGAGCAATGTACCTCTTAAACTATACCTGTACATCTGGTTTTTCTTGCCTAAATGTAGAACCTTACTTTTTTCACCATTGAATTTCATGTTGTTAGATACTGCCCAGTGTTGAAGCCTGTCAAGATCCTTCTGTATCTTAAGCCTATCTTCTGGAGTGTTGGCTATTGCTGCAGCTTGGTGTCATCTGCAAATTTGATGAGTTCCCCATCTATCCCTTCATCCAAATCATTGATGAAGATGTTGAAGAGTACTGGGCCCAGAACAGAGCCTTAGGGTACCCCACCGCATACTTCCCTCCATGTAAATGCAGTTCCATTGAGGACTACATGTTGAGTGCAGTTGGTCAGTCTGTTACGAATCCATCTGGTAGTGATGCTGTCTAACCCACCTTTTTCTATCTTATCAAGTAGTAGGTTGTAGTCTACTTTATCAAAGGCCTTACTGAAGTCCAAATAAATTATGTTCACAGCATTCCTCTGGTCCACTAATTTTGTCAAAGAATAGAATAAGATTTGCCTGTCAAACCCATATTGGCTCTTGGTTATGACTTTGTTTGCCTCTAGATGCTCACTGATTTGTTGCTTGATTATCTTTTCCAGAATCTCCCCAGAGATTGAGGTCAGGCTGATATGTCTGTAGTTTCCTGGATCTATTTTTTCCCCTTTTTTGAAGATGGGAACTACATCAGCTCTTTTCCAGTCCTCCGGTAGTTCCACAGTGCTCCAAGATCTTTAAAAGATATAGTTCAGTGGATCAGGGATTCTAGGGAATTGTATCTCAAACATCTGGAAATGCCAATTTGCTACACACTATATGTGTATTATGTGTGTATGATAACAAATAAGACCACCCATCATGCTGTTCCCATGACATTACGCTCTTGCAACAAGCAGACTCAGTTAACTTCATTTTAGATACCACAGGATTTCTACATGCTCTCTCTGACATTTTTTTAAGCTAAAAAGCCTTTATTAATATTACAGAGTGTCAGCACGGCATGGTGGATGCTAAGATCTGAATTTCCCATCCTTTGCACATAACATTCCAGGCATTTCCCCTCCCCTATTTTGGGGTCATGATTCACATCTTCCAATTAACTTGGAGGGCAAAGATTCACTTCCTTTCTTTTTCCTGGGCTTTCCTTATATTCTCCTCCCCTTTCCCTGTCACCTGATTTAACTCTAAAAATACCAGACAGTTCTGCATATATTGTCAAAGCAAGAATGTTCAATATTAGCAGCGTTGACACTCTCTCTCTTTAGTAAGAAAGTTCAGTACTTTATTTTGCATCTTTTTTCATTTCTGTATAGGTCTTCAATAAAAGGTTAGGGATAGGGATAGGATTAGGGGTAGGGTTAGCCTTAACGCTTTTCATGACTCTCTTACTATGCTGCATAATGCCAAGGTATTATATACAATGCCAAGGGAAAATATACAGCACATTAAAATAACAGACATTTCATACTTTGGCTAAAAATGTCATGCATTCTACAGATTTACTAGGTATTCTATGCAACGCCAGCTTTTTACACATTGCTGGTAGCATCTATAACAGTGGTTCTCAACCTTTCTAACGCCGCGACCCTATAATACAGTTCTCCATGTTGTGGTGACCCCCAACCACTTATACATCACCGGGTGCCATGGGCGTAGCCAAAGAAAAGGGGAAAAAAATGGCGGACAGCCTTGTTTGGCGACCCCCGTGAAATGGTCGTTCGACCCCAAATGGGGTCCCGACCCACAGGTTGAGAACCACTGATCTATAATGTATGAAGCACCTATAAACCAATCAAAACATATTTTTTCAGGGACTAAATCCAGGGGAGATTGTAAAAGATTCTGAAAAAAGCTTGGTAGCAAAAATCATAACTCTTATTAAGTTGTCAGTGCTTAACAAATGGAAGAGGCTGGATTGGTGTGTATTTTAAATTCTCCACAGCTACAAAATGGAAAATTCCACCAAGTGAGATGTGTAGCTTTTCCATTGAAACTTTCCTTCTGTAAACTGTAGCAAGAGTACAGACAGTCTTTGATTTAGGATCATAATGGAGCCTGCCCATTGCAGTCATAACTCCTGAAAGTTTAAAAGCAGCTGATCATGTGATCAGCCAGATTTTATTAGCTTTTTATGGTAGGTGTTAAGCAAACCCATTGTTTGCTATGGGATGTTGATGAAAGCCAGAAAAAAACTTTTCAGCAAAAATATAAATTGTGGTCACATGACTGTGCTGCAAATGACTGTAAATGCAGGCCGATTGCCAATTGTCCAAAATGTGGACATGTGATCGGGGGAGTAGCCATTGGAACTTCAGAATTGGGACTCACCTTTTAGGGTCCGTCATAATTTGAATAGACAATAAGCACTTGTAATAAGTTGAGGACTACCTATAAACTATTTCTTATCAATTAAGCTTAATTCAGGTGGACTTTTGTTTTCTCCATCATGATGGTGATGAACAGCAAACATTCTAGTTATGCAGAACTCTCTGATAAATCACATACTATATGAGATTTTCCAGGGATGTTTCTATAGAGCAATTGGAAAGAGAGGAAAAATAGCCTCAAAGATAACTCCTCTAGGTCTGCTTTGGTTCTCTTGTAATCTGTTCATGTACCTCTGCTTCCTCCCCAATGCTGGGTTCTGCAACCTTTGAAGCTCCATTCAACAGTGTAGGCAACTTTTTTTCTGAACTGTAAGAAGGAATGAAAGTGGTCTTCTTGTTTATTTTGTGGCTATTAGATCCTTTCTCTTGAAAACCAAGAGAGATCTCCAGATTACCAATATTCGGCCAAAGTGAAGAGGCCTTCTGTTTCCAAAGATGGGAGGAAGGGTACTTTCAAGCCTCAGGTTCCCCCCTCTCCAGCAGCTGACGTGAGCAAAGCCCCAAGTTCTACAGTCACAGATACCAATAAAAGGGCTGACGGGACAGAAACAGACCTACCGTCTAATCCTAACCCACAGTGGCCAACAGATCTCAGCAGAAGTTCCTCCAGTCTTCTGGCTTCCAATTTAAGTGGTTCTCCCAGCCACCTTTCAGTCAAAGAACCTACTCCAAGTATCGCTTCAGACATCTCTCTCCCCATCGCCACTCAGGAGCTGCGACAACGTCTGAGGCAACTTGAAAAGTACAGTCCCAAGTTCTTTTTTTATATTGTGTCTATTCATAAATTCTTACCTTGGCATTTTACTTTCAGTTCTCTTCCTAATGATTCTAAGCATAATATTTGCATTTTGTTTACAACATCTGTACATTGAATTGACATTTTCACGAGGTCTCCACCTTGACTCAGATATTTATTTGCAAGTTTAGAAAGCACCAGTCCCCACAATTTATATATTGCCAGTATTTCTCCCCCACATTTTCTGCACAATAAGCAGCTCTTGTTTTGTATTGTTACTTCCAAAACATGTCTTCGCAAATCAACAATTACTTAATATTCAGTAATGCTATATTTTAATTGTGTCTGGAAAATCAGAATGAATTGTAAATTGTGCATACAGAATCTCATTAGGATTATGTGTACAGGTGGGTTAGAACAGTATTTTAGGATCCTTATTGAAATATTTATTTCATATTTCTGTCATTGGGATATAATGTATTCCCAAAATCACAAAAGGAAGAATTATTGTTTTATCATTGTGGAAACTCAGCATTGACAGTTTGCATTATCCTGATTTTTGTAGTGGAACAACGTTGGGACAGTCTCCATTGGGCCAGATTCAGCTAACCATTCGTCACAGTTCACAGAGAAACAAACTTATGGTGGTGGTGCACACATGCAGGTGATCGTATTACATATTTCTTGCATTTATCAATTTATCTACAAGATAGCTATGCTGGAGAACTGGGAAGGCTCTGCTTTCTTTGCTCCCATCTTGTCAAAAATGCTGAACTTTATTCCTCCAGTTAAATCTCCTAGTTTAACTGTGACTTTGGCTAACCAGGATTCTCTTGGATGAGGGCTTGTATCCAGGCAGATGGAAAAAAATAGTTCAGCGAATCCTGAAGAAGGGGGTCCTGACTGAACATTGCCAACATCTGCAGATGTGCTGTTTTATTAACTATTTCTGATCTGAATATTTTGTATCCCTTCATTTTAGAAATCTAATCGCCTTTTCAGAAGAAGGGTCTGATCCCTATGTTCGAATGTATTTACTGCCTGACAAGAGGAGATCAGGGAGAAGAAAAACAAGTGTTTCAAAGAAGAATTTAAATCCAGTGTTTGATCAGGCGTATGTTGCAGTCTGTCTCCTGTTTTTATAGCATAAAGTTGGAAAATTGTTAAAATTACTTTCTTTGTACTGAAATGGGACTTATATTGATTTTTGAGAAGTCATCTAGAAAGTGGTTAATAGTTCACTGTCACTAGACATGCAATGCAGGAAGGTAAAAATAAATGCATCATGTAGCTAATTAGCATCCCCTGGTTTATTTTGTTATCCTCTCTATAAATAAGAGGATAAAAAATGAGTCTTTCAGTACGATCAAAATATTCTTTGTAGAAGATAAGTTGTCAAAAAAGCCTATCAGTTGAGTGCTAATTGATATAAATATTTTAATTTAACAAAATAGAATTTGGAGTTGTGCCCTGGGGAAAATATAGTTATTAAAATGAGCATAGAAACAATGGAATACAAATAATTTTGCAGAGGGAAATGTTCCTTATGTAATAGATATGAGTTGAGTAATTGTAACCTCAAAAATCTTGCTGATTTTCAGGGTCCTTTAGCCAAATACTCTGAAGTTACAGATCTCCTGATTTCAAACTACTTTGATTATATTCTGTCTGAAACATTTTTCCCTCCTCAGTTTTGATTTCAGCGTTTCGTTGTCGGATCTACAAAGAAGAACTTTAGATGTTGCAGTGAAGAACAGTGGAGGATTCTTGTCTAAAGATAAAGGTCTGCTTGGCAAGGTGAGTATCGCAGATGTAAAAAAAAGCATGTGGCAAATAAATGTGAATTGAAGTATTGTAGAACATCAGTTATTTCCTCTTTTGGGGGCAAAGTTTATTTATTTATTTAATTTATATGCTACATGTCTCACTATCCAGGTGATTCCGGGCAGCTTAGAAGACAGTAAATGGAAGTGCATACAAACATTAAAATTAACAGGAATTAGATAAAACTGGGAACCAAGTACATGAACAGCATGGAGACTGGATCTTCTTTTGTAATCTACTAGTCACCTCTAGCACAGAATACCCCCCTTTAGGACCCCATGCCAATTGGCAGAGCCATGTTTTGAGGTGTTTCCAGAAATCCAAGAGGATAAGGATGGATTATGGGCATAAACTAATCCGATAGATCTGATTCTGAAACAGAATTACTTATTTTTCCTTTATCCATTCAGTAGCAAGATCCTATTGAGCTGATCTGTAAAGATTTGAGTTGGAAAAAAATCTCAGACGTTACTTTTACCTTGTTTGACATATTTCTTCTTAGGATTTAAGATCCATGCATGTGGAGGAGAAGCTGTGAAAAATATTCATAAAATAGAGCTAGTTGTTGAAGAGAACTTTTAGTGGGATCACAATTCAGATTTCACTTTTGTGAGCAATGACTTTATGCATACATGAGGTTAGGAGTCAAAGCCAGAAGCTAGGATGTCTTTCCACATATAGAATCTAGTGTCATAATTTAATTTCTTGTTCTCACAGGTATTGATACCACTGGCTTCAGAAGAACTTTCCAAAAATTGTACTCAGTGGTAAGTACAGCCATAGGATGCCTTTTCAATTTTACCTCATTGAGAATTTGGATAAGAGTTCATTGTTTCTTTTTTCTTCTGTTCGCTTTATAGGTATGACTTGACAGAAGATGGGACAAGGTCTAATGTTTCACCTTAGGCAGCTTTGGATTCCAGAAGCTCTTGTTAACATATTTTTGCAAATCTTTATGTATTTTATCAGCATTGTTATTACAATATTACTTTTTATAACACTTAGTTACTTGGCCCATCACCTCAACCGTTTTATAATATTTTGAGATTTTGCCGTAGGCTTAAGTCAGCTTACTTATAAACCATTTTTTCTCATTTGTTACAACAATATTAATGTGCAATAGGTTTGTAGAATAAACATTTGTTTCAGTAGGTCCTGTTATGGCATTTCTGTCCTTAAGAAAAGTGGGCTATCTTTCACTTTTTCTATCTTATTTGTGTCTCATCAAGATATCTGCCATGTAAATATATACCATTTTTTAAAATGCATTTTCCTCAGAGGTGTGAATGCAGAAGAAAATGTCAAAGAAAACTATTTTGTTTGAAAAACGTATGATATAAAAACCGTAAGACAATTTTGAAAATAGCCTAGCTAGCAAAATGGACTTAATCTTACTAATATTATGGATTTAAGAGTTTTTTATTTTTTAAAAATGAAAGCTATTGATGTAATGATGTATGATTAAAGATTTGCAAAAAGGGAAAATACAAAATATTAACCTTTAATATTTATATTGAAAAATGTATTCTTTGAATTTCAGATAATGCATATAATTCACAAATGCAGATATTATATATTTACCCTGGATGTGAAATGAAGATTTATATAGTACAGTACCATGTCTTTTCCATTCACCACTTCTTATTAAAATGTTATTTGCTCTATCCGCAATGTAGGGAAATGCCTATGCAACAGTATGCTCAAGATATATAATGAATTAGAATTTGGCAGCCATCCTGCTACAACATTGTCATGTCACATTGATTGCTACAGATAGGAAACTGTTTATAACTGAGTCTAAAAGCATGTTTACAATTGTATGTGGAATACCAGCAAATAATGAGCTCAAGTTGCAGAGATTTCTGAATTTCTGCTTGATTCTTTCATAGTTGTTTCAGTACTATCAGTATTGGTGCCTTGAGCAGTTAATTGTTTTTTTTTATCAATGCATGTATTAGCCACATAGCATTCACTGCAGTGCATTCTTTTTGAAAGTACCAGTTCCAAAGTTGATTCATTCACACATTACTAATAAGGAATATGACAGTGTAGAATGAGAGGTCAGAGTGTGCAAAAGCAGCATTGAAGCTGATCCACAGTGCTTCTGTATAACAATAATGCAGGAAAAAAGACCACCTGTGAGTCATTTAAAATCCAATGTATCTTCTAATCAGTATAGTTTTTTCCCCATTTGATATTTGCAGGCCCAGGAAATACAAGAATAGTTTGCAAAAATGGGCTTAGTTATTTGAGTGTGAACAATCTATTCATTGTTGCTGTCAGAATAGAATCAAGGGGGCATTAATTATAGTTAATCAGGCGCAGTGTTGGCCCAGTGGTTAGAATGCAGTACTGCAGGCTACTTCTGCTGACTGGTGGTTGCCAGCAGTTCAATTCTCACCGGCTCAAGATTGACTCAGGCTTCCATCCTTCCAAGGCTGGTAAAATGAGGATTGTTGGGGACAATATGCTGACTCTGTAAACCATTTAGAGAGGGCTGTAAAACACTGTGAAGAGGTATATAAGTCAAAGTACTATTGCTATTTATTCAAATATTTTTCACAGCTTCCTCAGATGGTTTTTACAAAAATGATGCATTTTTGTATTTTAACCCAAGAAATGGCAATAGTTCCATGGAAGTTGGTAGCTACACACCATCTTGAATATTTATGCAATGCTTTTCTAAAAATAATATAGTATAAAATAATAATATTTTATCAGAATTTAGAGAGTCTTAGAAAGTCTTCTGTCCAAATGATTTCCATGGGTGAATAAACTTTAGGGGTATTAGCTTTATAATTGAATTTACAAAATCTTAACTCTGGCTTAGACAATTTTGAAGAAATTCTCCAAGAGGAGCAGTCTTCACTGAAGCTTATAGAGATCTTCCTATTGTGCCCTATAAATAACTAGACTACTAAGATACCAAAGTGCCTGTATCATATGTAGCAAATTGTCTATATCATGTTTTGAATATCGGTTGTCTATATTTTAGTGTGATGTACCTGCACATGGGCATGTATGTTTCTCCTGTGTTTTATTATGAATGTCCCTCATGAGGTAGACTTTATAACATCATTCTGACATTGACTTCATACAGAATAGCATGTAACTCTTATCACAACATAGCTTAGGTTAGCGGTTATCACTTCCTTTTAAATGACAAAAATACATTTACTACATGACAACTTTCAGGGAAATCTAAGAAGGGAGAATATGCAAGAGGATTCAGCCATCAACTATAGTTATGAGGAAAAAAATGATATATATAAATAATCACATAATTTGACGTTTTCCTGAAGAAAACTAAGAGATCATCTAATCCTTGCATTCTCTTGTGGATTAAAGTGACATCAGTAAGTAAGAGTACTGTATGGTGGCATTGCTTAAGTAGTAATTTCCAGTTGTATTTGAATTCTAATGAGGGATAGTGTGAAAAGAAGAGGCTCATAATATCAACAAATGTATGCAGAATGATCTAGCACTTCGGGCTTTTGCAATCAAAATCTAAAATTGGCAAAAGGAATAAAAAAATGAGGAAAAACAAAGGCCCCATTAGTAAGTTGAAATAAGCCTTTAGTTTGATGTTAAGCTACATAAAGTAATTTTTTCATCCCTATCATCTTCTCCGTTCTTTCTAATAAGGCCACATTTCTTGCATTTTGCATAAAGTGCAAAAAATTGAATTGATGCTATGTGAAATGTATTGAAAATAGCTCTGCAGTAAAGAGATGTTGAAAATTTGGACCAAAATCTGAATGATTAGTAAAACATTTTTTCTGCCTTTGGGACATAGAAACTGAGTGCATGAATATTCTGTTCACAGTTTAATGGTTCACTGAAGAACGATAAGGATTGATGAGATTCCAATTAGCAAATCTATGACTGAGTAACCATCAGACTAGATTTCTGTGTTTTTTATTCTGTGCCTTAAAAAGAAAGCTTAAATATTTCATGTAATGAAAGCGAAGCTTTGTTCTCTGTATTTATCCATCTTTATGTGCTATTGAAACTGTTTGGTGCAGGGGTTTTTTTTGCTGCATTTTGTATTTAGAACTGTTGTAATCTGACCATCAATGAAGCTGTTATTTGACTTAGGGATTTAACATTCTTTCCTGTTTTGAACTCTCTATCATGATGCAGCAACTGAGGAAAAGAAAAGAAGAGAAGAGAAGAGAAAAAAGAAGAGTAGTTTGACTACAGATTGCATTTTTTTTTTGCTGATCTAATTTTGCTATTGCATGTATTTATTCAGTAAATGAGTCATACGGAACTCACTGCCTCTTTTCATTCATTCAAAGAACATCTGCTAAGTTTACTTGGCATAATTAGCCGCTTTTAGTGCCCTCAATTCACCTCCCAAAGCATTGTATTAGATACAGATACACTGAAATAAGGAAAAACAGATACAAAATGACTACACTTTCTTAAGAATCACAGCTTTTTTTGTTGCAATTTGCAATTCATCCTGTGGAATGATGGAAATTACCCAACATTTGAGGGTTTTCTTAAGACTTTGATGAAAGTGTACAAAAAAGAAAAACTGCTTGGCAAGTGTTGCCATGAATATGAATTAAATCTTACTTCTTGTTCTCCTTAGTTGGTGCCACCTTTCGTTTCTTCCAACATTAATTTTAAAATGGGTGGTCTATTTTAAAAATGTTTGCAGCATTATATGTCCTTAATACCTGTAGATTCCTCTTTGAAAAAACACTGTCCATTGTGAAATTTGTGACATCTGACTGAATGTGAATGTTGTTTACTTTTAGCCAATCAGAATCTCAGCATCTCAACAATTCTTTTATCACCTCGACAATTACAGTAATAATATAGACTACACTTCTGAAAACATAAGGGGACAAGAGGGATGAATGAATGAATGAATGTACTGCTTTATAAATCCTTAGTATGGCCACACTTGGAATGCCAGATCCAGTTTTGGTTACCACATCACAAAAATATGTTGAGACTGGAAAAAGTGCCAAGAAGAGCAAGTAAGATGATTAAAGGCCTGGAGATTAAAATGTATGAACAGTTGCAGGAATTGGGTCTGGCCAATCTAGAGAAAAGAAGGACTAGGGGTGACATGATAGCAGTGTTCCAGTATTTGAGGGGCTGCCACAAAGAAAAGGAATTAACTTATTTTCCAAAGCACCAGAAGGCAAGACAAGAAACAACGGATGGAAACTAATAATAAAAAGAGACAATCTGGAATTAAGGACAAACTTCCTAACGGAACAATTAACCAGTGGAACAGCTTTCCTTTCAGAAGTTGTGGGTGCTTCATCACTGGAGGTTTTTAATTAAAGACTGGACAGCCAGTTGTCTGAAATGGTATATGCTTGAACAAGGGGATTGGGCTGGAAGACCTCCAAGGTTCCTTCCAGCTCTATTCAGATTAATTTAAATACAATGAAAAAATTCTGAGTAAACATACAAAGGATCACACTTTTAATTAAAAAACTATATTCACTACAGAATGAAATACTTACGTGGAGTCATTGCCACTTAAAATCTGGATCATTTCACAGTCTTTACAATAAATGAATGTCACATTAATATTTCATTACCTTTGTCCTGAACTTCCCTTGTCTTTTATTTCTACAAAACCCCAAAGTATTTTAACATTGTTCAGCTTTCTATATGTTGCAGTTATATACTTTGCTGTATACAACTTGAATCTAGGAAATTTGGAATCTGTCTAGTGTTGGGGCTGCAGCTGAACATTTAAATGTAAAATCAAAAGTTAAAGGATGCAAAAACTATTTAACTCTCAAGTCATTTGGGGAGTTCAAGCCATTTTTCAAAATAATGTGCTGAAAAGCAACAACTTTAAAATATAGACAATTCATCAGGCTGCAGCAGAGGGAGCTGAATGTTTAACAATCTGTACACAATCAGTACACAGAGCCAACATCAGTAATTCAAAACAAAGCAACTAGGAGAGTTATTGCTGCTATATTTTGATCACTTGCCGTTTCTTAGTTATCTCCAAGGGTGTCCCATGTAAAATGCCTCACAGTAGTCTAATGTAGCAGTCATCAGTGTTTTATTTGCTTTATTTTATTTTTGTGCAAGGCATCCTGGTCAAGGTAGAATGGTCACTGGCATATGATCCAAAAATGCCCACTGCTCACTTCAGCAATGGAGACTTTAAGAGGATCTTCCAAGTCACGAACCAAGACTTTTCAGAGGAATATAACCTGTCAAGAATGAGGGATTTATATTATTGACCAATATTTATTAACCTACATTAATTTCATCCTGGATTTTGTCCAGTCCAGATCTTTACAGACTTCATCACATCCAGGGCATCTCCATCTCAGGCTGAGGTGGCAATCCACTGTTACCTGCTTCTGGATAACTTATAAGATAAGATAACCTTTATTTTCATTTTTTATTATGAGCACACTGGCCCAAAATGAAATTCTGTTGCCTGCTTTCAAAAGAAAGTATATACCTACACATACACATACATAAAACACACACATACACACACACACACACACACAAATATTAATCACTGTCCATTTTGAATACATAGTGGAAAGAGGAAACTTGAGAGTCCACAAGGTTGATGCTATATGGAACAAAACTGTATGTTCTGCTTGGGATACCACGAAGCCTCTTCCCAGAAGATAACAAAGGCTTCTCATCTCAAGCCAATGGATTAGATCAGGGATCCCCAACCCCTGGTCTGTGGACCGGCACCGGTCTGCAGCATGCCAACAAGCGGGCTGCACAAACAAGCAAAGCTCCATCCTCAGGATGCAGGCATTATTCAAAACCACATTCCTTCTGGTCAGCGGAAAAACCTTTCTTCATGGCACTGGTCCCTAGTGCCCAAAAGGTTGGGGACCTCTGGATTAGATAACATAGGGGGAGAACCAAACAATGAAGCTGTAAGGACCCCATATTTGCATTGCCATGATCATCACATGGAGTCCCCCACTCTGAATTCTGAATCATGGCAGAACAGATTCTAGAACATCTTCCTTCTGCATCTTCTGTTGCTAATTTACCAACACCATCTCAACAACCTTTTTTAACAAGGTAATGTTGGAGATTAGCTGCATATGATCAAACAATTTCTTCAGAGAAAGGGATACCCTTCCTCCTTTAAAGCAGGTAGAACCACACGCTCCCAGTGAAATGTTGGTAGTTCTTGAAGGCACCTTTAACTTTGTATTGCAAGTCTTTGGGCAATAGCCCTTCTTGGTCTACAAATATGGATACTATTATATCATTAAGAGATGAAAACTGCCATCCACTCTCTAATGGTGAAATGGTTTCTTGGCTGTGGATGTGCATATTTTATAAAACTCAAACTGTAATTAAGAAAGTGACATCACTGTAACAAGGTCAGTAATCATCTGAGGAAACATCTTCCTAAGCAGACCAAATAACCAGCTTTTGCCTTTGTTTGTTTCCAATACTGTAGCGCAATGGCTCAATATGTGGTCCATAGATCTCCAGGGGCTGCAATGTCGTCATAGAGAGTCTGTGAATGCTTAAAGAAATATTATGATTTAAATCTTGAATTAAGTCTTGGGGGTCCGTGGTCATGATCTATGACCACAAAAGGTATTTAAAGGGGGTCTGTGGTGAAGAAAAAATTGAGAACCACTGCTGTAGCACATCTAATGAGACTCCATCTGCATTTTGGAAGACCATAAAGGGAAATTACACCCTGATGCTTTTTTAGAAAACCATACTCAACGAGTAGTCCTCAATGGCACTACATCTATATGGAGGGAAGTAAGCAGTGGGGTGCCATAAGGCTCTGTCTCAGGCCCAGTACTTTTCAATATCTTCATCAATGACTTAGATGAGAGAATAGAAGGGGAACTCATCAAATTTGCAGATGACACTAAGCTGACAGGAATAGCCAACACCCCAGAAGACAAACTCTGGATCCAAAAAGATCTTGACAGACTGGAACAATGAGCCCAATTCAACAAAATGAAATTTAATGTGGAGAAAAGCAAAGTTTTACACTTGGGCAGGAAAAACCAAAAGAACAAATACAGATTAGGTGAAACATGGCTCAAAAACAGTAACTGTGAGAGGGACCTTGGATCCTAGTGGATGATCACTTGAATATAAGCCAGCAGTGTGCAGCAGCAACCAAAAAGCTAATACAATCCTTGGCTGTATAAACAGAAGCATAAAATCAAAATCCTGTGAAGTATTAATACTGCTTTATAAAGCCTTAGTAAGACCACATCTGGAATACTGCATCAGTTTTGGTCACATTACAAAAAAGCAACTAAGATGATTAAAGGCCTGGAGACTAAAACATAAAGAATGGGTGCAGGATTTGGGTTTGGCTAGTCTAGAGAAAAGAAAGACGGGGGGGGGGGGGGGGGAGGAATATGACATGATATGATAGCAGTATTTCAGTACTTGAGAGGCTGCCACAAAGAGGAGGGGGTCAACTTATTCTCCAAAGAACCAAAGGGCAGGGCAAGAAACACTGTGGATGCTTCATTATTGGAGGTTTTTAAGACGAGACTGGACAGTTACTTGGCTGAAATGTTATGGGATCTCCTGCTTGAGCAAGGGGCTAGACTAGAAGACCACCAAGCTCTATTTTGATTCTAAATGAGAAGGGGTCAATCTATTTTCCAAAGCACCTGGAGGCAGGGTAGGAAGTAATAGATGGAAACTAATCAAACAGAGGAGCAACCTACAACTAAGGAGAAGTTTCCTGACAGTTAGAAGAATTAATCAGTGGAATGATTTGCCTCCAGAAGTTGTGGGTGCTCCAACCCTGGAAGTTTTAAGAAGAGATTGGACAACCATTTGTCTGAAATGGTATAGGGCTTCCTGCCTGAGCAGGGGGTTGGACTAGAAAACCTCCAAGAACCCTTCCAACTCTGTTATTCTGATATTCTGTAGATCTATCATTCATCTATTATCATCATCATGCCCTGTGCTAAGCACATTGGGCTACAAATATACTCCACAATTTTTGGTCCGCAGCTACCGACTTTGCCTCCTTCCATTTAAGGTTGATGTTTTTCAACTCTTCCTGTTTGATGCCATGTTTTCTTTGGCCTTCCTCTTTTACTTAGACTCTCTACTGGTATCCTATTGATTGTGGTTTTCACTGGACATTGCTCACTAATACAGGGCACATGTCCAGCAAAGCGCATTCTTTGTTCTGTCAGTATCTCAGGGAGCGTTTGGGAATTACTTCTTTGTGGAATTTCCTCATTTGTGACATAGTCCCGATATGAGATATGAAAAATCCTTCTGAAACAATGTTGT